ATTAATAGTTTAAGAAGTGTGTTGTTGTTTTATTCCTTAAGAATACATGACCTTTAACTCCAGATCTTTCTTGATTTATAGAACTTCTTAAATTTTGTCTGGAAATGACAATCTTAATGAGCTGCAGTCAGATCAGGGTTAACGTCAGACCACTGAATCGGCTCACAGCTTAGCTCAATTTGTTCCTGCATAGATTATGATTCGCCTGGCCATTGTCATAGTACAACGCGTTGAGCCGTGAGCTGCCAATTTAGTTGTTGAGCCGTCGCTCAGCGGTGCACATGTGAGGTGAATTTTTGAGCCGGTACAAAGTTGATTTACACACGTCTAGTGAATACGCTACAAACTGTGTCAGGTACCCTTTAACAAACCCTCGCTTACGAGACAATGCCTGGCGACGATTTATTCATCATTTATTTCGAGTCTGCACAAAAATACCACCGGAGTATGTAACATTTTTTACTTAAAAAAAAAACGAATTTAACTTAGACTAATGAATGAAAACGAACGAACAATTCATTACATATTCAATCAAACCTTATTAAAAGTTAATGTTATCTATCCGACCGAAATATCAGAGATAAAATTAATTTATTTCCCTATCAACGCCAATAGGAGAATAACACAATACGTAAACATTGTTGACGTATCTTGTGCGATACATTCATAAACGTAATTACAAAATTTGAACAAGGAAACAAGGACAAGGATAATTAACATTGCACTGGAGTATAATAGGGCGCTCGAGCACGAGAAGACTAATGTATAAGTAGAATTATTATCCAAAGCTGAACGTTACCGAAAATGTATGTATAGATCCTTACAAATCATAGATCTCTGACTAATAATGCATTTGTAATATGCACTCGCGCTTTATTGTTTTTAATTTTGTGTACACTTTTTTAGTGATTTTCGATAAATTGAAGGCATCGCGCACATTGAAACCCAAATCCTGTCTATAGTGTTAACAATGAAGCTTGAATTCTTAAAGATATGTAAATGTTCCCATTGGAATAATACTCGGCCTAGTATCATAGTACAAATAGCGCAGTGGGACACGAAGAATAGAAACTTGATTAAAGCTGGCTGTTAGGATTTGGGTCGGTTAAAATGAAACATTTTAGTCAAGGAATAACCCGCCTTTTTTTAACAAATAAAATTTTAGTCATAAAAGATATGGCTTTCCTAAATATAAACTCATTTTTAACGGTTGATATGGACTAGCAGAGGTTGATTATAATGAACTAATATTATCTATACATATAATAAAATTGGAGTGTCTGCAATATCGAAAGAAAAAATCCATATTTCGAGAAGCATCATCTTCTATTTGCGTTGCTGATAGAAAAATCGCATTAAAAGATTATTGGCCTGTCTGTCTGTCTGCAAGCCACATTTGTACCAGATAATCTCGAAACACCTGGACTGATGTGACCGGACTTTCAGTGAACGGTAGCTGACATAGACGGGCATATTATAGGCTACTTTTTTATCTTAATATCGCGTAGACAAAGACGGGGGCAACAGCTAGTTTAACTTTAAAATGTGATTTTAAAAAAATAAGTATTAAGGTGCAGCAAAAATATTGAGTTATTAGTCATAGTCCCCATTTTAAATGGTGCTAGCGCCGATTACGTACTCAAAGATAATGACATGTTTTTAACACTGAAATATAAAAAGTTTCTTATTACAATACCATAAAGTTCAGTTTCTATTGTCAACGAAACCGTGTAACATATGAAGTAAGAAATTGGCGCCGTTTGTATATATGTTATAAGTGAAGTGAAGGTGAATTTAATAAAGACTATCTTAAAATGGTATACTATAGCTAAAATAACGTGGGTACCAGCTTTTACAGAAATATTAAGAGCGGGCGCACACCTTTAACTAAAATATCTCATAACTATTGGGCGATTGTCGATTGTTTAGCAGCCAATTCAACTGTTTAGTTTCACAACTAAAAACGAGTAGTATGCGCATTTCCATATAAGCTCATAGGAATCAAAGCAAGACTAAACAGTTGTGCGATAGTTTAGTTTTAGGTCTGCTACACGCTCTTAGTCATCATAACCAGCCAGTACCCGTGCATTGTCAGACATAGGACTTTCCGATAGCCTTTCCCAGAATGATCTTCCGCCAACGGCGGTTCCAGAGCCTGATGAGGGTCATGATCATGACATGACCTGAGCATGACAAAATATATTGGCATATTTTGTCAAGTTCTTGACTTGACCACGACTATGTGATCCCCCCTGGCGCCGAAGCTGGATCCGCCCTTGTCTTCCGCGCGTAGTATTCAGAGTCAAGGTCAAGTCCACCTTGAAGAAGGAAAAATTGGAAACCTCTACACAATACATTTGCAATACTTTGTTTATGGTATAAAAATATCCCATCGGCCTAGATTCAGAATACGTAAAATAGAGACTAACGATTTCCGGAGGGAAGCGTCGCGTCGAGTTTAGCCGTATCTAGATAAAGCCTAGTTTTCCAACTGTTTCCTATGCGATCTCTTGAATTACTAATGGCCCTGCCTTAGAAAGGTCAAGACTTAGAAGAAACAGGGTAAATAGAATCATAAATATTTTTTTAATATCTATCAATAAGCTTATGGGATCCTAAATTAAATGTTAATTAGAGATTTCTTTATTATTAAATAAAGAAATTTGATAAAGTGTACTTTTGGAATATATTTTTCTCATATGATTTATGAAAAAAGTTACTAATGTTTTTCAATACTTTCACTTGGATCAATGAAATAACTGAGAGATTCTGAATTAACTTACACTATTTAATGATTATCTCTTATTTAAGAGACAGTTACTATTTTGTTAACATATTGTTAAATTTAATCTTTATTTTGGAGTTTCATTTTACTATTAACTAGCTGTTGCTTGCTACTTGGTTCGCAGGAAATTAAAAAAAATAGTAATTAGTTTGGGCTACATCCCCCAGCAATAACATTGTGTTCTAAAGGTGAAAAAATTTTTGAAATCAACCTTGTGGTTTTTTAATTATGTCAATACATACAAAAATATGAATCCTTCCTCTTTATAATATTACATATAAAGTATGTGTAAAATAATACAGAAACAAAACACATGTGAAGTTAAATGGTAATGTTTTTCAAGGTATGATACATAGTTCTTTTGCATTAAGACCTTTGGTCATGAATAAAACCCATTTAACAATTAAATACATACTATGGGCAGCTTGATCCAAATATTTTTAAACATTATAGCAGTTTCATTACTAATGTATTTTAATGTTAAATAACCTACAACTTTCGATTCTGTTTCTTATCACCAGCTCCCTATACATTCTTGTCAAATGTTTCATAGCCTATCCAAATTAAAAAGATGACTAAGCCATACTGTTTTTTATAAATGCAAAAGTTTAGATTTTAGTAACTATAACTCCAAAACAACTAAACAAACCACAATAACATTTCTCACAGAAGAAGATGATGTAGAAGATATATGCTGTAGACATATGCTACTTACTATTTTTTTTTAACTCTGTACTGGCATGGTCACATGCAATAACTATATAATATATATGACCTACAATATTACAGTTCATGTCTAATCCACAGGCAGATGTCTATATGGTGGTCAGTTCAGGAATAGTCTTGCAGCTTGCAGAGTTACACCTCATCGACATTCATACATCTCCAGATAGATGTTAATTATAAGGCATTCTGCCCTTTAGTATGTAACTTGTAACATCTATTCCTATATACTTTCAATTAAATTTTCATATAACTTCATTTTAGCCTTGTGACAGTTCTACAAAATGAAAACCTCTTCCTTTTGGATGGCAATCAAAATATAAAAAAGTCATACTTTTCCTACATATAACACTAATTTCTAACTAAATCTGAAAAACAGAATTGAATGCTTTTAATTCTTCATTTTAAACACTCATTTGTTTTTATAAAATGTGTTATACACTTAAAAATGGAATTATTTCCACTTTGTTTATTTTTGTTTCTTATAAGATGGTTTTAAAAACTAAACAATATGGAATGTCAGTTTGTCACACATTTTGTCAAAATTAAGGTAAATGTGTGCTAATTAAACTTGGCTCAATTAAAGCTGGTTTGTAATATCACACGAACAACAATGAAATTATGAATGATAAGCCATCGTACTCATCACATTCACTACGCCCATTTTAATACTCAAATTTAAGACTACTATTTTTCTCGTAGTCAGTGAAATAGAACAAGTACAATAATTAAACAGTTGTGACCTAACATATAAAATGTTTTTAAAACTTATGACACAACTGAAATATTGTTAATAAGTTAAATATATTATAAAGCAGTACACTCACCCGTTCCACCCAAGGAAGTCAACAATTACTCGACGTATTGAATACACTGAACTGTGTTCTTGATAATCCGTTTGGCCAAAAACACACAATATAACAATGTTTATACCACTAATCATATAAATAGATAGAATTTCGGTATTTCTAACAGTCTATTAATTTGACTGCCGCTATAACCGTGCCACAAAACGAAAATGGCAGCGTTGATATCTTAAACTTAAAATTGTACGGAGAAATCTGACAACACTGGACTGGAGTAGGGCAGTCCTAGTCAGACCGTTACTCATACCAACAATTTTAAGGAAAACTATTAATAAACAGGATTATAAGATGTAAAAGTTATTTACTTTTAACTATTTCATTTATTATTGCGAGAACTTGTGCGTTTTTTATATGGAACAGTTTACCCTTTTCGTTAATTAGTGCATTTTCAATATTTGTAACACACTGCTGCACGATTTCCAAAAAATAAAATTACAACAATGATAATTGAGGGAGGAGTATTACTTTAAGTTTAAATTAAACTTATATTTTGTCACAATTTAAAAGTAGAAAAACCCTGGACCTGTTACTTAAATACATTTGTCTGGACAGCGGTGCTGTGTTAAATAAAAAAAAAGGTTGTTGTCAATGTCACTTGTCAGCCAGCTGCCAGCAATTTGTCACTGTCAGATTCGCATTGTCGAGTTTGGCGGGGTTGGACTGAGTTATTCATTTTCATTTCATAGTTTATTATTTCACTCGGTGTGCAATTTTAGCCTCGCTCGCTCGCCGAGTACGTTTTTGTAAACTTATATTTTTACTATGGATGAAATGGATCGCGTTACTGTAATTGCCCCTGTTAACATTGCCGTTATAAAATACTGGGGTAAACGTGATGAGAAACTAATTTTACCGATTAATGATTCTGTGAGTGCTACTTTAGACACAAGTATTATGTGTGCAAAAACATCAGTGTGTTTCCGACAGGAATTTACCGAGAATGAAATTTGGCTGAACGGAGTTAAGACATCGTTCTCCAATCCACGTCTTGTGAATGTCTTGGACAAAATTAAAAAGATAGCTACCGCTCAAAGAAGTGTCGATGACGCTGTTCTTTCTTGGAAAGTTCGTGTTTGTTCGGAAAATAATTTTCCTACTGCGGCTGGATTGGCGTCGTCGGCAGCGGGTTATGCTTGCTTGGTAACGGCTCTCGCTAAGCTTTACAAAATAAATACAGACGTCAGTGTTTTGGCAAGAATCGGATCAGGAAGTGCTTGTAGAAGCGTATTCGGTGGTTTTGTGCGTTGGCATGCTGGTGTTAATGCAGATGGCAGTGACTCTATAGCGACACAGATTGCAGACTCTACACACTGGCCAGAAATGAAGGCTTTGATACTTGTTGTATCAGATATTAAAAAGCATACAAGTTCAACAATTGGTATGATGAATAGTGTGAATACATCAGATTTATTAAAGTATCGAGCTAAATATACTGTCCCAAGAAGAACTGAAGAGATAAGTGAAGCAATTTTGAAGAAAGATTTTGCTAAGTTTGCCGAGTTGACTATGAAAGATAGTAACCAATTCCATGCAGTCTGTCTCGATACTTACCCACCTTGTGTTTATATGACAGATGTCTCACACAAGGTTGTTGAAATAATTCATGCTTACAATGATATGTGTGGAGAATTGAAAGTGGCTTATACATTTGATGCTGGTCCAAATGCATGCTTATATCTTCTAGATAAAGAAGTTCCTACTGTTTTAAAACTCATTAAATACTTGTTCCCTACGTCTAATCATGATTTTGTTATAGGACTAGGTGATGTAGATGGTGGTGATAGTAAATTTTTAAAATCATTTCCTATACAGCCACAAGCCAAGGATATAATAAAATATGTCATTCACACAAAAGTTGGCAAAGGACCAGAAGTTGTCACATCACATTTGTTAGACAAGAAAGGGAGTCCTTTAAATTTAAAATGAATTTATAGTTTTTCTAAGATTTTTGTTACATTATATTTATTCCAAAGGGTTTTAGATTTTACAATGGTTTAAAGTTATATTTTATACAAATCATTTATATATGAAACTATTGGTATTTTATGGTTAAATTAATTAACTTTGTCATTTGGAAATATTATAATTTAATTGCATAAGCAATAATAATTATCCATTTATTTATATGACAAGAGTACTTGAATCTGTTATCTACACTTATAAAGACAATTCACTTGTGCCTGATACTTGATTAGAAGGTTTTCCATACCTGAAACACTTGTATAGAAATATAAACTTAACTAAGATAATAGTTATTGTGGTAATGTTAAATAGTTACTGAATTGAAGCATTATAAACATTCCATTTAACAATTAAGAAATAACAAAAATGGCTAAAAAATCTCCACTCTTATTGATCTGAATTTAGAACTGAAAATGGACATTTAGTCACAATATTTATTATTGGGGTTGGTTACAGGGCTCTCTGTTTTATGATTAAGATTGAATAAAAAGATACTGGACAATTAGAATAAGAATAAGAAAAATCACAATTTTTATTGTTACATCTCTCTCTCTTTAAGTGCCTCTCCATTAATGGAGGTTGGCCGTCATTGTTACATAATAAGGTTATAAAGATGTTTTTTTTTTTTAAATTATACAACAATATTCATTTTCTTATTTATTTTGACCTTTTTCTGATTGAAATTTTATAAACGGGCTTTCTTAATCCCTTAATTACTATAAAAAAATAGTCTATACTAATTTTATAAAGAGAGTATTGAAATAACTTAAAAATTACTGGGCCAATATTAAAAATTCTTTCACTGTTGGAGAGGTAATTTATCTGAGTAACATAGCCTATATTTTTTAATTTCACGCAGACGAAGTCGCGAGCAACAGCTAGTCATTTATAAAATGGCATAGTATGGCAAATTATAACAAAAAAATATACATGACACTATGTTGTGTAACTGAGTGTTCAATATTGTTCGAGGCAAAAAATATTTAAATTTCTTAACTTTGGACATAAATTATTCTTTTCTGTATATACTTTGTTATACATTGATGTTTTTTCGTTTGTATGAAAGTACCGGGAAATTTTTTGTGTATTTCATGAGAATGTAAATTCTTTCACACTTTTGTGATGTAATTAATAATTGTTACAGGTGAAGGTTGAATTAGTTACGACATACTGTAATTATGGCTTATAAATAATGTGGATAAAAAGTGCCCTTGCATTTTGTAAGATAAAGTCAGTTGATAACCTTTCCTCATAAGAGTATAAAAGTTACTAGATTTCGTAATATCCTGTAATGCAGGCAGTTTTGTCATGGATGCAATAACACCATGGTGGCAGTCATTTAAATAAGCAAATGGACAGCAGGCATCTATTTTGTAATTTACGTTCTACGTCTATCATCCTCCTTATGCCAATAAGATTGGCTTCAAGAAACTTAAATGAAAATCAGATTTTTGTAGAACCTCTAGGCACAGACTTCACCCACCCCTTATGTCCCTTTTCCTTATAAAGGATATCGATACATTTATTTTCGAATTAATTAGCATTTTCACGCAAACTACTTACTGTTAAGCTAACATTCTGAACATCTTTTAATTTCATTACAAAGGGGTCTCTGAATGTTAGAGAATAATGGCTTCTATTGAAATTAAAATTACTTTATTTACATAATAAAAGCTATACAGCAATGTACAAAAATACATGGAACATACAATAGACTTAAGTTCATCTAGAGATCATAAAAAAAACACTGAATTATTTATGAAGTCAACTCCATTTATTCTTACACCTCAGTCATTGAAAAGAAATATTTTCGGATGTACAAAAATAAATGAAATCAGTTTCATCCTTATCGCGCTGAGACGGACACCTGCCAGACTCGGATGATGTTGTCAGAGTATCCCGCAAACAAAGTCTGTCCATCAGTAGACCAGGCTAAAGACAGACACTGTGGGGGATCAGCCTTGGCATTCTGTGCTTGGTTGATGATTTCTGGTCTGAGTTCTTCAACCATCTCCTTGCTTTCCAAGTCCTGGAAGATATTTGTCATTTTAATATTCAAAATTGAAACAATATAATTATTTTATATTGCCTTAAAGATTTTAGGCATAAACAGCAGGTATAAATAGTGGATTAAATATTTACCCAGATCTTTATAGATGGCCCAAAGGCAGCACAGAGCCAGTATCTGTTGGGTGAGAAGCAAAGTGCTGTGATGATGTCATTGTGGTCGAGGGTGTGCAAGTGCTTGCCGTCATTGAGGTCCCACAGCATGGCCTTCATGTCCTTGCCACCGGATGCACAGAGTGAACCGTCGGGTGAGACAGTCACAGTGTTGAGGTATCCAGAGTGGCCGAGATGGTTGATCTTCAGCTTGCAGTTGGTCAAATGCCAAACCTGAACAATATAAATGAACATGTTTAATAAAATCAAGTATGTTAAAATAGATTTGTCCATAATTCTGTCTATAATATTCCCATATACATCAGCTATTCTCATGTCGCATCAAAATCAGTCTAGCTATTTAAGATTTTTGAAACCAACAATCATTCATTATGGATATTCAAACAAGCAAACATGAAATCCTTAATTCTGCATTTAACTCAGATGCTTTTCCAATGATAGTTAAAATTCAAAATTTAGTTACTAAATCTATTTTCTCACCTTCACAGTGCGGTCCCAGCCCGCAGACACAATGATGGGGTTGGCATGGTTCGGTGAGAAGCGGACACATGACACCCAGTCAGTGTGGCCATCATCTTGAATGGTGTACTTGCACTCCGCCAATGTGTTCCACAGCTTGATTGTCTTGTCCCGAGACCCAGACACAATTTGTCTGTTGTCTACGGAGAAGGCCACTGAGAGGACATCCTAAATCAGAGAAAACTGTTAACAGGGTTCTCTAATAACAAATAATTAAAAGATTTATAGTGTTTATTGGTTAGTAATTTATAAATACTTGTATGGAAAGTTACTTTTAAGAGCTGACATGACTACTTACAAGGGATGGCCCTGGTGCATGCCACTTAGCTCTACAATCTTCTGCCTCGCAAAGGCACAAACACTAGGTCTTCTGCCTCGTATAGGCGCTAGCACTTGCCTATATAGGCACCTAACCCTAACCAAATTATAAGTTCTGTCACACCTTTGTATGGTCTTCGAAACGCCTGGTGGTCTTGCCGGCAGCGAGATCCCACAAACGAAGAGTTTTGTCCCATGAACCGGAAAGAGCATAGTTTCCATCGCTGGATAATACGACGTCGGAGATAAAGTGAGAGTGTCCGTACAGACGCTTCTGAGGGACGCCGTAATTAGTTTCGTCTCTTGTCAATTTCCAAACGATAAGAGTTTTGTCTAAAACAAAGAAAAGTAATTAGCGCCACGGTGCAACAAGAATGAAGACTAATTAGTGTTGACATTTTCAGCCCCATATCCGCTTGCCGATCAGGCTTCACGTGGCAAAGATTTTAGTCATCATTGAATTAAATAAAGAAATATAACACAAACTATACTCCTTAACCTTTTTGGATGTGTTATAATAGTTCATACTTTACAACAATCATATGTTTCATGTGATTATTTTAGATTGAAGAAAGTTAAATGATACATGTTGATAGCTTACCTCGTGAGGATGATAAAATCATATCTGGGTATTTTGGGTTTGTCGCAATTTGCGTAACCCAGCCATTGTGACCACAAAGGGTGCCTCTAAGTTTGAGGGTTTCCGTCATGTTTCACCAAGAACGATCAACCAACAACTTCACACACCAAGTCGCAAAAGAAAAGGAAATGGCCTCTTGAAATCGGAAATATATGACACTGATGTGTTGCCATAATCTATATTTCTTCTTTATACCATGTTTCTGAATAAATTTTCCTATTATTGAGCCCCCTTAACGAATTTTCCGTTTCCCGAAAAATAAAACACTAGGTATTTTAATTACTTTATAGACCTTAGCAAACTTCATAATCAAGTATATTTTTCAATTTTGCTATTCCAATACATCCTTATAAATTTAATCCGTTTTTCGAGTTATATGCGATTTTAGATTTTATTATAAATGTAATAAATGTAAATAGTTTTTATTCCAATTTTATCTAATTGTTTTCAAACATTTTCACGGTATGTTTTAAACGTTTTAGAACGCACCTAATTAAATCGCTTTATAGTGTTGACGTTTTCGCACATTGTGATTACAATTTAAATTGCAATAAGTATAAAATGGTTACTAATAAAGTAATTTACAGTTCATTTTATTAACATATTATTTTTGTGGTCATTGTACTATATTTTTCATTAAAATACACAATTATCGTAATGGATTTACACGTTGATACACATCTCTTAGGAAAAACTAAAATTTCTCCATCGCTTATTTTAAAAGTAAGTTTTTAACTACGTCTAAAATATTTAATCTTATTAACATTGTTTTGTAAAGCTTTTATAAAACCGTTATTTAAATCAAAAGCGCAGACATGTTTTTTAAACTGTCATTTTACCTATTTACTTGAACCCGTCCGCTCAGATCAAAATTTATCTTGAACGCATCCGTACTCACAAACGGAATGCATTATTACCTTCATCAAACTCTTATTATTTATATTTAAATAATTCCTTTATATAGCTGTGCTTTTAAATCAAACAATATCAAAGAAAACAATAATAATTTATTTAAAATTAATACAAGTTTGAATGGCATCAGCTTGTAGTACCTGTGATTTCCGCTGGGGGACGTCGTTCTTTTGAATCAAATTGACGTCACGCAAGTGGTACCTACGCCATTTTGTGTCTGCTCAAGTCAGTATTTCTGGGCGCAGTGAAAATTACAAAATTCGCATGGTTTTGTGTACGTTAAAAAGTTAAAACCATTACCAATCTAAGTTAACGTCTCGTACGTTAATTTCACAGACTGAAAGTATGGAGGACAAGGCGTCATTAAAAGAATTAGATCAATGGATTGAACAACTAAATGAATGCAAGCAGTTGACAGAAAATCAAGTGAAAACCCTATGCGATAAGGTAAGGAAACTTTACATTCACGTTTCATTTATGTTAATAGTTTACTTTTCGATTTAGTTAGGAAGTATGTAATATCCGATAGGTTGATGTCTAGTTATGCCTATGTTGTGTGATTCATTATACCTACATAGTAGAGAATCGAGAACGCGTATGTAGTGGTTAGTAGACGAAGCTGGTCGGTCGCACCGTAATCATTACTCTTCGAGGGTAGTAGTGAGCTATTATATGCCGGCGTCACATCGATTACTGCATTCCATTATATAAAAAAGCAATATTTTGACAATACTGCCTAATACCTTTTAATTGACCAACGGATATTTTTAGATCAGGTACGGAAATTAGTAATTAAAACAAAAAAAAATCGCCATAACTATATAATGTGATATTGAATACAGTTTTGTTATTTTTTCAATTGGATCTAAACTGGAAATAACCTTTTTGTCTTATTAACTCATCAAGCATGATAAAAACTATTATGACTCATACATGTTAATGTTTTGGATAAAACACCTACTTTGTGTATTTATCAAGCAGATAATATATAAATTTGTTTATAATGTCATATTTGGGTATACTAAAACCTTAAAGTTTATATTGTTGTATTGTATTGTTTATGATTACTAATTTTTGAGTAACAATAACAACTAGTTGTTATTGTTATGTCTAGAATTAATGTTATTATCATAAAACCAGTTAAAGTAAATGAGAAGCATGTACCCATTCAAAACTGATTAAATACTGACTTTAAGCAACAATCCTGTACTACATTTACTTTTTTTTTGGTGATTTTGGTTGTCTATAGTATTGCTTGTGTCCTATGGTGTAAAATACATGATGTTTACACACAATCCATCAAATATTGGGATAAGCAAAGTGAAAAACATCAAATTCGTTGCATAGAATTATATTTAATTATGATTGGAATATAATTCTATGCAACTTCTTTTATTTAGTGGCAACTTACATACTTCGGCTTTAACTGGGTATCATTAAAAAAATGTTATAATAAAGACAGAATACTTAAAGGTAGGTAGCAGACGCTATACTATAGTCAGGTCTGTGGACAGTAGTAACTTTACTATTTTGCGTGCACTTTTTGCGAACCCTACCTCCTCTAGGTCACAGACCTAAGTATAGTTATTGTTTTAAATATATGTAAATTTTGTACTTGCCTTCAAAATGTAAGTAAAGTGGTTTACATTGATTAGGTCATTATGTTCATGCACTGATTGTTATGTAAACTTGTATCAAAATACATGTTATACTATATTTTTAAGTAATATTTAACGGAATACTTGTATACAAGAATCCTGAATTCACAAACTATGTTAGTATAGAATATGTTTTAATCTATATATCTAAGTTCTTACTACTTGTTATTATTTGACATTTTAAAACTAAAAGAATGATCAATATAGAATTGATTACTATCAAAACAAGTTATTGATAATCATAGTATTCATTTTGGCTGTGAAATTTTATAAAAACAGTGTTTCTGTACAAATCTAAACATTCTCTGAAGTTGTTGCCACATATTCTCTGAAGTGATTTTGATAGTTGTTTACTTTCTGTGATTTTTTACAATGACCTCTAAATGGACAGGCTACAAACTGTGGTATTTTGTGTCTATGATTTTTGCAATTTTGGTGCTAATCGTTGTGGTTGGTAGTGGTGAAATATAAACTAGAAATAGTGATAGGTTACTGTCCTTTAAATCAACATGCACATTAAGTTGGAATGAAGCAAAAGCTGTCATAGAAAAATCTCCTATCTGTTTATACATATCTATGGGCTTTTCAACATGTCTGATATGAATGTGAACAACTGAAAACATTTACAACTAAGACAAAAAGAAAGAAATAAATTTTGAAAATCAAAAGCAAGATGTTTGGCAAATTGACGTTGAACATCTTTGATGCAGAGCAAACAAGTCGAACTGGTCACTAGAAATTTATCGATTTAACTTGCGCCGGCGCCAAGGTCACTATACTATACTTGTATATACTGACTATTGACTTTTCAATTCAAATGTATTTATATAAAGTTTATTTTTTTAAGGACAATGTTTACATTAAGACAGTCACCAAATGGTAACATGTAAGGACATATAATAAAAGATTAACGATACTTTAGGGTCATTAGAAGCACTTTAAAATTTAGTAGAATGTTTAGAATCAGATATTTGCAGCATATTTTTATTTAATTTCCTGCAATGGTGACGAAAGCAACATCTTTTTACGTTTTCAATATAATTTACATGAAAGATGAGTTTAATAAAGCAATTAATTCTACGTAAATTGGTGTGGTGAATTGTATTACCCCGAGTTATCTAATCGATTACTAATAAATCGATTTTGCGTACGGATATCTCTGGCGAAAGTCTATGAATTTTTACACAGCAGCGGTCGGGTTAAAAACCCCGCCTTGCGTAAGATCTGGGTGATTTTAAGATAGAATTCCGATGGGTGTATTATTTCTTTAACCTCACCGGGTGGTTTGTTTACATTTTACGCCTAATTTGTTAGTTTTTGATCGTACAATGCCCGTAAAATTAACGTTATATATTTATTCTACCGTAATAATTTAGGGCGGATCTATTTCCGACGATTTTATCTAATGCCTTTTTATTTTTAAGAGTATTAGAGAAACTACATTGTTTTTGTACAAGTGTTTTGTTGGTCGGGAACACGGTTACATAAATAGGGTACAAAGTATCTTGAACAAGTTCATTGATGTCCCCCACCCCCGGTTTTTCTCGCGGAGCTGCGAGATTTTTCAACACTACGGTTCATTGCAGCTAAATTGTTATGCGCGAAAATTTCACAAACGCATTTCTCCTCTTAAAGTGTTACAGTTTATAACATTTGTAAGAAATAATGACGGTTTTAGGTTTTCTTAAAGAGAAAAAACAATCGGGGTTGTTACTTTTAAAAAAATAATAGTGCTGTTTTAATTATGAAATATGTTATGCATCTGTATCATTATAATAAATGACAGACACAAAGAATTATCTCACAGGATGTGTTTACGCAAAACTGTCCTGAATATTCACACTAACAAATTGAAATACGTGGTGTATGTAGTTAATTTATATTTTAACAAATTAGTACATTTAAAATAGGAATCGGTAATATCTATCTGTCCCTCTGTGGCACAGGCTTGATTATAGGATCATCTATGTCATTCATATTTGATATCGTAAGTCTAATATTTAGAATAAATTTTATCTGTATTAACTAAACAGTAAAAATGGAAAGGCTTTTAATTTTTTATAGCAATCTAATGAATGACAAATGAAATTAAAAATGCAATTAGTAAGATTTATTTCTTCATCTCCTTTTAGCGCGCTTTTTGTCCACCATATTGCACCGCCATTTGTATTTTCATCTCTACGGAGTCTGGGAACGTAAAAGCGTTTACAGAGTACAGTTGAATCCGTTCACTATTTATGTTATGCACATTGTTTTTTTTTGTCGACGTACCTGTTACCTGTCCCTCCGAGTCTATTTTTTACAGACCTGTTTGTATGAAAGGGAAATTTTATGTTTTTGGTTTCATATTTTTATTCTTGTGGTCTTTTCATTTAGTTGATCAAACAACTGAACAGTTGATTTCATTATTAATCTATAATTATCTATACTGATGTTATGAATAGGATTTTTTTATATGTTTTGAAATACTTCAAAAACTACTGAGTCAATTACAAAAAAATCTTCACCATTAAAAAGCTACGTTATCAGTGAGTAACATAGGCTATTATTTATTATTTTTTAATTTCACGCGGACGAAGTCACGAGTAACAGCTAGTTATCAACAATTCTGATCAGACTGGCAACTGATTAATAACTTTTTCCTGTAAAATGGCGATTTATCGTTTTTTGTACTATGTCCCGAAAAATCATACGACATAATACCTAGGGTTTTCTACTCCACCGCTATTCATGTAGGACAATGGAGAAACGCGCTTACGCCATAACGATTCTTGGAAGGGTTGAAACCAGTCTTGGATTTTATTCCTGTCAGCTTTTTTGATGTACCTTTTAACGAAGGCATCAACTAAGGGGCAATATTGATTATACTAAACCTAATTTATTTATTTAACTATAGATATAATAAAATTAGATTTTCTGTTTCAAATAGCAAAAGAAAAATTCCAGATTTCGGGAAGATGATGTATTTATGTTGCTGATAACGAAAACAATCATTTCAATTGTTTTGTCTGTCTGTCTGTCCTCAAGCCACGTTTGTTCCGGGGAATCTTAGAAACGGCTGGGCCGATTTCGACCGGACTTTCACTGAAGGATAGCTGACAGAAAGACAGAATTAAAAAAAAAATTGTGTCTACGAAGTCGCGGGCACCAGCTAGTTTGGTAATAAAAAAAATATCAAATATGGTTTACCATTCTTGAAGCACTCGTACAAAATATAAAATTGTCATCTCGATTCCCATTGGGACCGATCGGCCTAACAATCAATTGCCACAATGGGAAAAAATCCCATTGGGTTCATTTAAGTTACCTCTGTATTTTAAAGAAAGCGAGAGTTAGTTTTTTGTGATGAACTGTGTAACCCTACGTGTATATTTTTTCTACTATTGCTAAATTGTTCGCCAAAGCACTAGATAATAAAAAAAAACAAATGCTAGTTTATCACTCACGTTCAGCATATGCATTAATTCTTGATAATGTGCACTTTATTGCATTAACATAAGGTTAATTACTGTCAGTTTGTTTTTACTTTTATTTTATTGGAGTGTCGATTTTTTAATGTCAGTAACGTATTTCCTGTTTTAAGTAAAATTCGTGGCACGATTTGTCTATTTACATACAAAGTCAAGTTTCCTGAATGGAAAAATTGGACACTAAAATATTTCGTCACTAGCTGTTGCTCGTGACTTCGCCCGCGTGACTTTAAAAAATAATAAAGAGTATAGCCTTTGTTACTCATTAATAATCATCTCATTAAAAATCGGCCCAGTAGTTTTAGAGTTATTTCAATACATACAAAACTACAAATCTTTCCTCTTTATAATATCAATACAGATTATTGTATGAATGTGAAGTAAATGAAAAAAAAAACATTATTATTAGTGAAAATCGAACTTTTCTTTCTTAATTTTACTATTTTTGTGGATATTGCATGAGTTATAATATTTTTATTTGTTACCTCGATCTTATATTGCAAACTTTCCTCAAATTCTTGTGTGCACCAAGCTTAAGCAAGTTTTGCCTCTTTCGTGTTTTATGTCAAGAACGTTGCTACTTTTGCTTATTCTAGTGTCTTGAATATCCAAAAGTGTTTCAATTGTCAATTTATTTTGCCATATATTGTAGTTTGAAGTATTTTATTATGCCACTGCTTGTTAGTAATGCCCAAAATTTTTTATAAAGACAAGATACAACGTCCTTCGAAGAAGTCGAATGTAGTTAAGAATCGATATTTTAAAAATTGTGAAATGTACACACTAAGAGCGAGCGCACATCTGAAACTAAACTCGCATAACTGTTTAGTCTCGTTTTGATTCCTATGAACTTATGATGGTGCGCACACTAGTCGATTTTTAGTTGTTGAATTTTCTGTGAAGCAATCGACAATCGCATATCTGTTGTGTGATTATTTAGTCAAAGTCGTGTACTCGCTTTAAATATTGGCGAATGTTTAGCATTGAGGCGCCCCACACAGCGCGGTCCACGTGCGTCACACACGTTATTGGTTGGGTCTAGCTAAATGATTACCATCTTACTTCTTACTATCATACTAATATTATAAATGTGAAAGTTTGGATGGATGGATGTTTGTTAGAGTTTGTAGCCTAAACTGCTGAATAGATCTTGATAATTTTTCACAGATGAAGAGGATAGTCTGGAAGAACGCATAGGCTACTGACTATTTTTCAAAATTTCTAAACGAACGGATTTGTGGGTGAAAGCTAGTACATAACACATTTTTATCCTAATTGGGATCAGTGAACAGCAAATTTTCTTAAGCCCTCTTAATTCCCACATAATCTTGATTATTTTTTGTCATGAGATGTCACGATGAAAAGGTAAATTTACAATAGTCTATTAAAATTCTTGTGTAACTTTAATGTAACAGAATCAAGGACTAGAGGAGACTATAGAATTAATTTAAAATTAAATCGTTTACCCTTTTTTATTGTACATGCAGAATCTTTTTCTTTTTTTAAGCGTAGAAAAGTCGTTATACAATAAATGGATAAACGTATCTTTAATGCGTAGACAAAACAGCGCTTCCATACTTTCGTTTTTGTTTATATTGTGCTACATTGTATAGAGTTATAATGATGTGAAAACTGTCCATTACAATTATGTTTCACTTAAAAAATACATTTACGATTAGCCTAAGTAGTGTTTATTACATCATACATAAAGATACTTTAAAAACATGATTTTCACTTACTAACTGCTCCGAAGGTAAAAGTAGTCTTTTGTAGTTAATTAGTTTAAACTTTTTTACTTCTATATATCTAAACCTTAATTAAAACTAGCTTTCGCCCGCAACTCCGTCCGCGTGGATTTAAAAAAAAATGTATCGAGATCCGTTCTGCTGTTTACTCTACAATCTCTAACTAATATCCATCTATCCATCTAAACTTTCGCATTTATAATATTAGTAAGAAATATGGCATTCAGTATTTACATCGTTCATATGAAAGGAACGTTAATTTACTATTTAATAACTAATCAATGAAATGTCATTAAATGTTCAAGCATTTGTCAAAGCAACATAGGTAAATTCTACTAATACAGAATTCGACTACTTTGTATTAATAAATGTTGGTTTCTGTTTTGTTAAAGAGAATGAAAGGGTGTATATATGCTGTATATTCTCTCGAAGTGGGTTGTAAATTTTATTCTTTGTCTCTAATAGTTAATACTAATATTATAAAGAGGTAAGATTTGTATTGTTGTATGTATTGAAATAACTCAAAAACTACTGGGCCGATTTTAAAAATTCTTTCACCGTTAGAAAGATGATGTTTTATTATTTTTTAATTTCACGCGAGCAACAGCTAGTAGTTAATATAGTGTTATGAGTTATGTCATTTGCGAATGTGCAAACCGTAGTGCACGGTGTCCTGTTGTGTTGGAAATATTTATAGGCAGAGTAGCTTTTCCTTTTATTGTAACGTCTGACCTGCTTCCCGTCCGTTTTGCATGATATATCAGCTAATTTTATCTCATATTCATAATGTATGTTCTATTCATACTAGCTTGTATATATCCGATATTATAAGCTATTTTAGTTATTAATTCAACCGGTAAAAAGTTTCTTTCCCTTATCACATTAAAAATATAGAGATTCAAGAATTTATTGAGACTAAACCTAGAATAGATTAGTTTAATACAGCGGGTACAGACAATATTAGCTATTTTATATTTAAAGATTGCATTTTTGTATGTAACTAATAAACTAAAAAACTACTGCACCGATTTCAAAAATTCTTACAATATTAGAAAGTTGGTATATCACTGTGTAACATAGGCTATATTTATTACTTTTTTTAATTCAGTCGAAGTTCTAGCAGTATTTAATGAGCAGAACAATAACTAATGTTCTTAATTCCGTGTCCGATCTTCATTCCAGTGGTAATGTAATTTCTATTCTCTCTTGTCAACTCAAAACAATCGATCACACGTTCTAAACAATTGCCGGTAGCAGATCCAAACACGTTGAAGCAAAACAAACGAACTAACGATTATACGACAGTCATTTGTTCGTATTACAGTCAAATAGATGCTGTCCCTTTCATTCTCTTTAATAGAACAGAGATGTACTAATACAATTGTGGAAATCCACCCTTCGTTAGTAATAAAATATCGGCTCCGAATTATATTACTAGCGTTGTTTTGGCATTGGAATAGGTAAGAATTAAACTGAATATAATATGAACGTAATTGTATTTGGTTGTCTCAAAGAATTAGCGACTAGGTAAGCAGTCAAAGGTGGCAAAGGTGGTAACCTACCAGTTGTTATGTTATGCAACACAATGAAGTGTAGTTTTCGAACAAAATTTCACGTAACTAATGTCATAAATATAATCTGATATATTTCTAACGACAGTAAGAATGTTATTTATTGTAATGAATATTGATTTCTCATATAAAACATGAGCATATGACGCGGAGAACGTGCAGTTACATGTATATCCCAATCTTACATTTGTTAGCTGTTTTAATTTGTACATGGCGCAATCGAGAAGCCAGAAAAAGCTAGATCTTAGTAAAAAAAAATCACTGTCGCTTCTAATAGAACATTGAAAGCACATAAAGGCTACTGTGTATTTTTTTTTTAACTTCGGACGACAGTTAATAGTAGTCTTTTTTTAAGTTTAACCATGTGTTTTTTGTTTCGCAGGCGAAAGAGATCCTAACGAAGGAATCAAATGTGCAAGAAGTAAAATGCCCAGTGACTGTATGCGGCGACGTGCACGGACAGTTCCACGATCTGATGGAGCTGTTCCGCATCGGCGGCCGATCGCCCGACACCAACTACCTGTTCATGGGTGACTACGTGGACCGCGGCTACTACAGCGTCGAGACTGTCACATTGCTCGTCGCCCTCAAGGTGAGCACAAAATTTCACGTATATATAGATAGGGCTTAAAACGCAGGGCAATACTTTCTGCATGTCTTTTTCCACCAATATGAAGAAAAACGGGGTCTCTTTTATGCTAAAATGCTATTTACCACTCATGTAAAACAGAAGAAACTGGTTGTTCTTGCTAATGTAAATGCGAAAGTTTAGATGGATGGATGGATGTTTGTTAGAGTTTGTAGCCTAAGCGGCTGAACCGATTTCGATGAAATTTGGTACAAATGTAGGGAATAGTCTAGAAGAACACATAAGCTACACACTTTTGTTTTTTTTTTGTAATGCCACGCGGACGGAGTCGCGGGCGAAAGCTAGTAGCATTATAAATTGTTGAGCGTACGTGAGGACGAAGCGTTCGTTTATCATTATCAATGATAATGTTTGGTCACTGTTTACACCGGCTTATCAGACAGTTTACTTTCACAAATGAGTCGCGCTATCACCGCCACGCTATAAATCTTTTACAGGAAATAGGGTAAACGGTTTATAAAGTTTAAATTTACACGAGGCAGTGGGATTTTTGTGTTATATATTTTTCTATACTCAAATTTTCTTGTACGGTATAAAATTGTTGGAAAAATAAAATTTGTTCATGTATGTACTTGTACATCCGTTATTAGGTGACAATTTGATTTGCACAATATATTACTTTAAATATCACGAATGTTGCGCACGCGCGCATTTCTATGTCGTCAAGTGTAAAAAACATTTTAAATGTTTATATTTACCGTTTGAATTATTAATTTGCCATTTTTAAGTGACAATTCAGGACAAGACGTGTTACCAACACTAGACAAATAACTGTTTGAATGTCTTAAAGAAACACTAGGACGTTTATTTTTTTGTTAAAGGTGGCCAGTCTTAGTCTTGTCTATGAATGTTTATATCAACGATATTTTTTTATATCTGGCAGGTGGACATTTCATCCATTTACTTTAAAAAAAAGTTTGGTTAGTCGTTTGTTTACAGTGTTCTGTATTTAAACTCATAACGCACGCTAAACCAACAACGCACCAACCTGCTTACAATGTTACAAACAGTTCATTGCCATCTCTTGGGAATTAGTAGTTTAAATAATAACGTTAGTTTTGAACTTATATATTTGTACTATAAATATGTCTAGGAATCTATTTTAAAAAAAATTATACACAAGGTTGGTCGCCTAAATATCGAGTAATTGTTTATTTTGAAAGTTAAGCGATGTTTAATTATTTGGATATAAAAATTATATACCATTGTTATTTCTGTGTATTGCTAAAACCTTTTTCTTGTCTAACTCGGAGCATTAAAGTCAATAACCCCTGCATTTAGTGAGTTGACAGCAGTGGGGTAAAAGTCAATGTTCTCACAATGTTACTGGTTGATTATAATTGATAACTTTATTTTTATAACAATAAAAACGTATTAAGATTGTTTAATTGTAATACGGTTTTACATTATAATGGCATGATCTGTAAAATGTAAATAATTAAAATAACAATCAACGTTACAAGTAAATCGACATGTTTTGACTGAATATTATTATGTTCTTTGATTAGGGATATATTGTTATACTCAGAGTCATTTATAGTTATTTGATGGCCATCAAACGATTGGTTAGAGCTAAGAAGAGAAAGTGAATATAGACGTAAGATGTTGACTATTATCTTTATAAAAAAGTTTTTATCCCTTCAGCGATTGTTTTTGTTTTTATAATATTTTTTTTCGTTTCCAGGTCAGATATCGAGAGAGAATAACAATCCTCCGCGGTAACCACGAATCCCGTCAGATCACTCAAGTGTACGGCTTCTACGACGAGTGCCTCCGCAAATACGGCAACGCATCCGTATGGAAACACTTCACGGACCTGTTCGACTTCCTGCCGCTGACGGCGCTCGTTGATGGTCAGATCTTCTGTCTTCACGGCGGCCTCAGCCCCTCCATCGACACCCTCGACCACATCCGCGCACTCGACCGCGTGCAGGAGGTGCCGCATGAGGGACCCATGTGCGACCTCCTCTGGAGTGACCCCGATGATAGGTGAGTCCATTCACTATAAGCAACCCTAGTGCAGCTAAATTACGAAAAAACTATACAAATTAACTGTAAGTAGTTTAATACGAAAAAAGGACTAATTTGTATTGTATTGTAACTTAATAGCCCAATCTATACTAATGTTTCAAAGAGGGAAGATTTGTATTTTTGTATGTATTGCTAGAACTCAAAAACCACTAGGCCGATGTCAAAGATTCTTTTACCATTTAAAAGCTACAATATCAGTGAGTAATACAGTGAATTAAGAATATTTTTTTTTTATTTCCAATTTCACGCGTGCGAAGTCGTGAGCAACGACTATGTAATAAATATAAACAAGACGTATAACTAAGAAATTTGAAAATAGTTTTAATCTGTGTTAAATGTATATTGATTTTAACAAAGATTAGAAAAGAGTCTAGAGCAACAAATGTCTGGTGTACCCACATTAAGGGTTCAAGAGAGTGGCATAGCTCCGCCCATAAAAAGACTAACCTGGGTGTGGCGTAATTTATAAAATCCTTCTAGAAAGTGAAGAGACATTAAAAAGAAAATAAACCCAGTACACAATGGATTTACACTTTCCATTTGGTCATTTGTAAGAGGTCAAAGACAAATTGTTTATGACTACCCACACTAATGTTGCGACAATACGATATAGAGCAAACAGTTATTGCATAGTCACGCGATAGTTCATGTTCCCAAGCGCTATTAAAAAAATCACCCACACATCTTGTCTTTGATATTTCCTTTTATGAAAGAGAAATAAAACTTCAAACCTTTTAAAATGCGTTTCTTAATGAAGATTGGTTTCTTTTTAATTTGGTTGCCACAGATTGATTGCGTAGTCATAAAATCATATAAATAGTGGAAATTTTTGTTTAGTAATAAATAATGAAGCTTAAATATCAAGACGTTATTATAAAAATGAGTTGTTTTTACCAAAATTGACGTTAAATTCGTGTACACACGTGTAGTATACATTTAAAAGATGGGTGCGTTTTTTGTTGTGAATAATAAGGAAGACCAGTACTTTAATGGTTTAATATATTGTATAACGTTAATTAGAACATTGTAGTAGGAATAGATTATCTTAAGTGAAAGATATGAACAAAAAGCAATAAAGATGCAAACGTGATCTATGTTTCGACAATCGGTCACGAAGTCGGATTTAGATACTTTTAATAGAAAAAGCTGATGCAGCCGAAGAAATATTTGTATTTTTGGATTTTCGTGTGTATTGTAATAACTCAAAAACTACTGGGCCGATTTTAAAATTTCTTACACCAATAAAAAGCTACGTTATCGCTGAGTAACTTAGGATATCTTTCTAACTATCTTAAAAATCTTAAAAATAAGACGCGGGCAAAGTCGCGAACAACAGCTAGTTATAATAAGTACTAGTTCGTAAGCCAATAACATTTGTATTGATCAGTCCATTATCATAACGATGTTATTTAAATAATACATTCAAGGCGAAATCCTTGAAGCAATGAGTGCATTACATTGATTACAAACCATTTAAACATGGATCGTTCAATACACGAAATCATCAATACTCTGAAGTACAGTCTATTCTAATACAAATACGATTTATAATTTAACAACTAAACGTTTGTTTTTGCGAGTGAAATAGCGTTTGGGAATCCTTGAGTTGAAACCTGGTTCTAAGTCGAGTCCTTGACACGATTTGAGTCTTTTGCCTCGTACTGCAGCGTTCGTTTATTTCGGAATACACTGTGTACAAATGGCACTGTTTTATATAAGACAGATGTTGTCTGGGGTCATTTTTATGGCATAATAGTATATAGTGGCTTTTCTAATTTCTTGTCCTCCCTTTGCATCTGAAATAAGTTTAAAAACTGCACCGATTTCAAAATTGATTGTAATACGCTCTCTATATTAACTCCGAGTAAAATAGGCTAAATTTAATACCAGCTGCTCCTTTCGATTTCGCCCGCGTGAAATAAAAAAGTATAGTCTATGTTCACTGATAACATAGCATTTTAATGGTGAAAGAATTTTTGAAATCGGTTCAGTAGCTATTGATATTACAATACATACAAAAACACAAATCTTTCTTCTTTATAATATTAATATACTAGCATTCGTCCGGAACTCTAGTTCATTTCATCGAGATCCGTTTAGCAGTTTAAGCCACAAACTCTAACAAACATCCATCCAAAGTTTCGCATTTATAATACTATTAAGATTGTTTTTTTTTATATATAAAATGTTATTAAAATTGATGTGTTTATGTATCCCAGAGGTGGATGGGGTATATCTCCGCGTGGCGCGGGCTACACGTTCGGGCAGGACATCTCGGAGACGTTCAACCACAGCAACGGGCTGACGCTAGTGTCGCGCGCCCACCAGCTCGTCATGGAGGGCTACAACTGGTGCCACGATAGGAATGTCGTCACCATATTCTCTGCGCCCAATTACTGCTACAGGTAACCAATACTAACTCTGCACAAAATTCTGCTTTCTTCTGCACTCAGATTTAGTGGTAACCCGCAGTTTTCTTACTCTAAATTATGCTGATGCCAATGCCAATTTCAATGTTTCAACAATGCTGATTTCAATGTTGTACTAGCATTCGCCCGCGACTCCGTCCGCGTGATGTTAAAAAAAACAAAAGAGACCGTCTATGTGTTCTACCAGACTATCCTCTACATCTATTCCAAATTTCATCAAAATCCGTTCAGCCATTTAGGCTACAAACGCTAACAAACATCCATCCATTTAAACTTTCGCATTTATAATATTAGTATATCGTGTAATTCTTTAAAGTGCTGAAGCAAAGTATCTTCAATTAGAACACGTGATTGTAAAATGAGTTCGATAAATTAAAGTTTGAAATCTTACTCAAGGTAAGGTCGTTGTTTTTGTTGAATCTTGATTTTCCTCGTGTACATTATGCAGTTAATATTTATTAATCAAGATTCCAGGTATTGTCTGAATAATGTTTGACTTCTAAGTGTTAACGCAATTATTATTTTCAGATGTGGTAACCAAGCGGCCATTATGGAATTGGATGATGCGCTTAAGTATTCATTGTAAGTAATTTTTTTACATATCTCTCGATCTTAAACATTTATTTAAATGTGTCACAGTCATAATAAGTGAAATGTGTATTTTTAATATAAAACTCGGAATGATTATCAGCGCAAAGTGATGACACAAAGAAATCGATTTACAATCGATATCTAATCAAGGCGACTTTCGTCCCATAATGGATATTTAAAGTTATGACCTATTATAGTGTTTATATATATTTAATTTATATCATTGTTCAGTCTTAATGTATGTTTGTTTGCAGCCTGCAGTTCGACCCGGCCCCGCGGCGCGGCGAGCCGCACGTGACGCGGCGGACGCCGGATTACTTCATGTAGGCAGCGCGCGCTCGCAATGTGAGTACAACATACACTGCATATAGCTCTCTCTCTTACACTCGTGATGACCCCCATATGACCTCGAGAAGAGGGAGATAGAATTCAATGCGATTAATAGTAAAGGTTCCAATTTAGACGCATTGTCTCTATAGAGATAGATAACCCATTGTGAGCACTGGAGGTCTAGAGGAGGATAAATGTCTCGTTAAGAATATAGGTTTAATAAAACTCCAGACAAAAAATAGGGCACAACAAATTATGGGATTTTCAAAGTGGGTGTTAGACGAAATAAGATTGAGGAATCATAGAGGCATCATCAAAACATATATTATCCTGTTGTGATGTCGAAAATATAGGCTAATCATAGAAAGAATTAAAGGTTTACTTATGTTCTTACTTTTTTTCATATGTAATTTTTATTAAATGAATAATCATTATGTTTACAGCGGTGGCGCAATCATGGGCGAGTGTGAAGGGCGGGGTTCGAGTGCGGGCGGGGCGCTCCGCCGTCCGCTTGCTGCTCCGCCCCCGCCCCGCCCGCACCGTGCCCCCGCCCTGGGCTGACCACGCCCCGCCCCGCCCCCGCCCCTCGCCTCAACACGTTTTATTCTAATGAAAATGTAGTGTTTATATCTTATTTCCTGAATGAATTGTTTATAACAGGTCGCTCGCCTCGCTACTCCACAGCGTAGAACATGCGTAAATATCCTCAATCGACGTGCATTCCGTATCTTTTATTCTAACTTCCTTATATTTTATAACCTCAAAATACAGCTTTGAATATGTACTGTTTCCTCATAAATTTTAAAGATGAATATACTGAATTATTTGAAAGCAATAATTATGGACAAAAAATATATGTTTGTAAGAGTTTTTTTCCTTTAATAACGTAAATTTAGTGCAATATGTTGTAATCCCTTATGTAACAAAATGTTGGTTTAGTGTTTGTAGAGGGGCGTGGCGAGTGCAGGGGCGGGGGCGGGGTTGGGGGCGTGGCGCAGGTTCTTGCCCGTAGCCTAAATATTATGCTGGTATGTTCATTGCGCGACCCTACAGTGCGAAGTTTTTCAAAATATATGTTATAACTTATGTATCAAAGACACTAAAGACCTCATTAAACGGCGTACATTTGCTAAAACGTTGGTTTTATTTAACACTCCGGTGAATGGACATACCACCATAGTATGGTGGGCGGAGGCGCCGCGTGACGCTTCTCTGCGGAATATTTCATATTAAAAATGTAGATCAAAATTGCTATAGTCTGTTAGTATAATCCCAGTTTGAGAATCCAGTTTTATCGACACGGACTTTCTACAACACGCAGCATACACGAAGAGCTAGCGTCAACCAGAACTCAGTCATATTACAATGGACGCGAATAAAGTTTATTTTGAGCTATAAGATTCTTTTGAATTATAAAAGTTAAAAATTTTGTATATATATATTTTTATCGGTGTGAATGTCTTGGCATGTCACAAAATATTTATGAAGTAAAATTATTGCATTATGACTTTAGCAAAGAAAATGGATCTGATTCTTGTGTTTGAAATTATTTTTTTTATTGTATAATAAAATCCATACAACTCTTCGTGTATTTTCCGTGATGTGGAATTATTTTGAGGCACAAAGTACGGTGACGTCATCATACTTTGTATCGAACAATAGCCAGCATTTAGTTTTGTATCAGAATGGCTTGAACTAGACTTAGGGCAGACATACACGAATTGCTAGGAGCCTTAGCCGATCAGCATAACGGTCGCCATACACGAACGCAGACGTACAATGTATGGCACCTTTAGTAAAGTATTAGAGAATGATTTTGTATTCCGCATCCGCCATTCTGTTACAAAATATTAATTTTAGCATTTCGAGATTTTTTTTTGTAATTCTAAATTATCCTTTTCTTGTACCTGTAAAACATGGAATAAAGTTCACAAGAGTGGAGCTTTTAGTTTTTTTTTTCTATATGTATTTCATTATAATTATTTTTTAGTTTCATTTTATGTAAATACCTTTAAATTAGCAAGGCATATTAAATAATTTTTTTGTTACTTTTTGGTTTTAAGTACGAATTTTTCTTCCTAAATTAACAATAGCTACAACACGTAATAAAAAGAAAAGATATTTTGAATACATTAATTAGCCCTAACATAAAAATAAACATTTGATATCGTTACGTTAAAACTTCAATGTAAAATGAAATATTTTATTTCAATTAGTAAGCATTTATAATAGTTTAACCCATTTGTTTAAATGGCTTACCAATTAGATTCGACGTCATCTATTCATAATTAAATTACTATTTTAGTTTATAATCAAATTAAGAAATGGGCTTTTTAATGTATTTAAAAATTATTAAAAATAAAGATTTTTACACAAAAGGTGAGGCACGGTTTTCATTCGCCAAGGATCGCCATTATTTAATAAACGCTGTAAACAGCTTTGGAACACCAAAAAAAATGACAAAATAATTTATAGCGGTTTGTCTTTTGTCAGTGCCATGGTGTTTATTTCCGGCTTACGAAGAAATCTTACATTTCCACGATTTGCACTTCGATAAATATTAAAAAACGTGTGGGTTTTAAATACAAAGACTTTTCCCACCAATGACATCTGAAGCCACACGTATCGATTTAAGTATTAAATAAGTTATAGGTAAAAAATAATGAAAAAAAATGAAAAATATACAAAAAAAAATTATATTCTATGACAGTGAGCTTCAGTTTTGTGAAAGTTGTGAAGTAATGCATCGTTGTATATTGATTTATTGCTTTGGCTGATGTATTTTCACTCGGTTGAAGCTCGCGTGTGTAAATTAAGGCTTTCCCGGTTATTTGCATAGGTTTACGAACATTCAAAGGTATGGAAATACGAAGGATGTTTTTTTTTTATTTGAACGAGTGTTGTATTACGAAGTGTGCGCTGTTGCGACGTGTCATTGATAGCTATGCAGTTATGGCGATAAAATCTGAAGATAAACGATTAATTGATTACAAATAAAAATTATTCTTACAACTGTACTATGCCCGTTGATAGGTATTAGATAATAAATAAAACTAATTATAAAATGCTTGTTTTATTTCACCCTTGTAAGAGCATCTCTATCATGAAGTAATTTTAAAATGAAATGAAACAATCTGTGAGATGAATTTGTTGGCAAAAACGATACGTTAGATACTGCAAATTCTAATAATAATGTTAAATAGTGACTATATAAGTAAATGAAAGCCAAATGCATAAAAATATTCTTTTTATTTGAATAAATACAAACAGCACACCTGTAAGTCCATTACAATTATTCTTGTAGTTTTTCACTATTTTTCCATATTCCTTTTGATATTTACAATTATTTGGTTTATCCAAAGCAAAAGTTTACAATGACATCGTAAAAAATTTATTTTTTGTAACAAAATGCATTGAAAAACCAGGGACGCACATCAACCGACACCACATAATTGATCTAAATAAAATCGACTAAACAAACGTCACTTTTTGATTACAATATAGCAATAATTATAAATCGTAAATTTTATTTACCACAATAATTATTTTGTATATAACCGCATACGAATTCGTCAAATTGTCTTCTCTTAGCCGATTAACGTCTCTTAGTAGCCTTTAGCGGTAAGAGAAAAAGAGATATTATTGTAGCATTTTCTCATTAAAATACAACACGTTCTTTAGTACAAAAATAAACAGTTTTTTTACTGCGTATGTCGCATTAACCAAACGCTTCTACAAGGAATGTAAAACATACGAAAGTAACCTCAAAGTTACATTTACACTTAAATTAAATTCGATTAATATATTTGTCATCTTGTGTTCTCTTAAAATAGTACCTAATTTTAGACAACCAATAATAACCATTTATAAATTAACACCAATTGAATAAACAAGATTTCCTAAAATAATTTAAAACAAGAACAAAGTTTTAAAAAGATTACGTTCAACGGCCGGTATCAAGGTCATAAACATTTGAATTCAGGTTACAATAAGAATTATACACAATTGTTTTAACCCAAAAAGATACCAGAAGATTTCAGAAAAAACTTCAGTATGAAAAAAACAAATGAATTGCTACATGATGTTGCCTTTTTAAATCTTGGGTAGAAATAATTTAACTACGTACATATAAAATTGTAGATTTTTTTCAGAAATTATTGCATACATCATTTATCTGACAAGTACAGTCTGTATATAATTAAATACAATCAGAGATTATCTATTTTTAAACAAATATTGTATTTGAGAAATACTACTAAATACTGTTTCTGACGTCATGAATCTGCCGACTACAGATTAAAGAAAAAAGAACAGAGAGACAATACAATACCCCTTAATATATTCCTACCAATTGGTAGTTTTTTGTTAGCTTGGTATATTTTTCTACTAAATAATGCGTCAAACTTATCTGGCTCTGTGAGCGAAGTTCTGGCGGCTTCTAAATATAAAACCTATTTGGACACAAAAGATCTTTTAACAAAGACAGATGAATTAATGTAGAGTCTAGCACGAAAATTTACAAAAGTATTCGTAATTTTTACATTTCTATTCGAATACTCATACATATTTCGAAGATAACTACGAATGTTATGTAACATTTCGTGCTAGGTTAGTTTCTCTTGTTCATAGGGTCGTATAAATTAATTTACGCGACAGTCATGCCAGTGTCTAATTGCAGCAGTTGCTTCATGAGCTCGTACGTCGAGAAGGAGGTGGCCACCATTGGTATAGCTCTGAGGTAGTTGATGCTCATGCCGCGGTACAGACCCTTCGTGATACCATTCTCTCGGTATATCAACGTCAATGTTTTGATCATTCCCGCGCTAGAAAAAGTTCACAGATTATATAAACGTTCAGAAACGTTTTAAAGTGACGTTGACAGTCGCATTAAAAATGGTAAAGTCATTTAATTTTTTATAGATAATTTAGTATTATTTTATATGTCTTCATTTAAGGAATTAACAATTATTGGTACAAATTTCCAATGATTTCAAATAATAGGCATGCTCTATATATCTATGCAAGTTTTATTTCAACATCCAAATAAATTGAAGATTACTAGAAACCAAAAGATAATTTCCTGTCAAACCATGTTCTATAATCTGTTAAATGCATATTTATAATTAATAGCAGATTATGTACTAAAGAAATAAATACAAAAAACTATAACCAACCTTCTGTTGTTACGCCATCACCACATGCAAAGATTATGTAATACAAAATAATTAATTTAATTGTTAGTAAATACACATCTAAGAACAATACGAAGTTCACACATTTCGTATTATCCTATTGTTACACGCTAAGCAAAAGCCTAACCAGTTTAAAAACAGAAAAAAAAGATCAAAGCCATGTTAGATATTGGTTTAATTATTTCAGTATCTCTCTTAACAATATTAGCTGTTTTAGTCAATATCAAGCTAAAGTAAATGCAATGTTAACCCAAATTTTAAAACCCCTTCTTACAAAATACCTTTTCAAATCAAATTTTACTTTTAAATATGCAAAATTTAACCATTCACCTATTAAGTACCATGCATATTAGTCAAGTTTTAGTTTACATATTAGACATTAAGTGGGCTAACTTTTAGGCTAGAACAAGCTACTAGGCTAGAAAGCTTCATAGGAATCAAAGCGATAATAAACAGTTATGCGATAGTTTAGTTTCAGAGGTGCGCTGACTTTTAGTGTGCATATTTCACGATTGTTTAAGACATTCGTAACTACTATCGACTTCTTTTAAGGATGTTGTATTTTATGTCTTTACTAGCTGTTCCCATGCGACTTCATTCGCATTTGCAATTTCATTTTGTTGTTCACATTTGTCAATTTATCAATTGCAAATGTCAAAATGATACGATTTGATGTCAAAACCATAGCATGCTTCCTTGATGTTGACAACAACTTAGTCTCTTTTCCAAATTAGGGTTTTTATGCAAAATATTTACCCCTAAGTTTAACGGCTATATAGCCTAAAGCGTGACGTAAGTGTAGGGTTTTGTTTTTATTAAAAAAGAGTTATTCTAAAATATTCTGTGATTGCTGACATCTTAGGCAACAAAGAAGTGTGTGTTTACGCTTTATTATTATAGTATAGATTAAATTTTTAGGCTTCACTAACACTCATTGGCTTAATAATACTTCAAACTACAATATATGGCAAAAGAAATTGACAATTTCAAACACTTGAATATCTAAGATACTAGAATAAACAAATAGCAACGTTCTTGTGTGTTGTGTGTTAAGTCAAAGATGTGTGCGCTCTTAGTGTTAGCCAACCCTCCGTAGTGACGTGCGACTTACCCGAACTTGGCAGTGTTGGGGTCCATGCAGGCGAGCTGCATGCGGCGGCGCGTCACGTCCAGCGGGTAGGACACGGACTGCGCCACCGCGCCCGCCAGCCCGCCGCACACCAGCTTGCCCGGCACCGTCAGCACCAGCCCACCTAACCACATGTGCGCCGATAAACAAACATATCTACTGTTACGATGAAAATTAGTACCGCACAGTAGATTGGCGAAACTTTAAATTCACGATAGTATCGATTACATTAATTGTTTAAAACTACATATCTCCGAGTCGAAATTTTGATTTTTTCCATAACTTCGCCTGAAATACATTAAAAATAGTAATGTAACCTATATCTTCCAGACAGTTTTCAACATCCACTAATTGGAGTTTTTAAGTTACGGTGTAATGAACATCACACATCTAAATTTTTGCATTTATAATATTAAAATGATAGACATGCCTGTGTTATCAAACGAAACACTAACAGCCTTACAAATAAACGCGGTATAAAATTAAACTTAGAAATAAACTAAGTATAAGTAAAATCTGATATTAGATTATACGCAGTTTATTCTGGATACCGCGTTTATATTTATAGCTCTGAAACTTTTCAATATACATCTATCTATCTCTATTTTACCTCTCTCTCTCTCTCTCTCTCTCTCATATATATCTTATTAATATAAATACGAAAGTTTAGATGGATGAATGTTTGTTAGAGTTTGTAACCAAAACTGCTGAACGGATATTAAAAAAATTTGGCAAAGATGTAGGGGAGCTTAAAACAGAGGTTTTTCTTTCAATTCCACGCGAAAGGAGTCACAGGCGAAAGCTAGTAGATAGTATTAGTAGTACATTGTAAGCCTATGGTATTTAAAGGTATTTAGATAACTCAAATTAGATTACTCAAAAATCTTCAGGTGTGTAATGTTTTCGTAACATTTATGCAATGCTAAATTTAACGGTCCGTGTAACATTTTTTGCAGTTGCTTTGCGTCATTACAAATAAAACACGTAAATCTCTCACTCTTATTACTTACACGCTGAAAATTATCCTCTTTTTATAACAACACGTTGCTTTAGATTTATTTTTTGAATTGGACGTAGAATTTTCAATACTAATATTATAAAGAGGAAAGATTTGTATTTTTGTATACATTGAAATAACTCAAAAACTACTGGGCCGATTTCAAAATATGTTATGCTTTGTTATCACTGAGTAACATATGCACTTTTTTCTATTTTTTGGTTTGAAGCAAAAAAGGCGCTAGCAACAGCCAGTATTATGTAAATCAAATTATTTGAGAATTATCATCGATATTGTGTTAAAAGGTGTAACTTAAAAAGGTGTGACGTCATTAAACCATCGACAAAGCTTATATTTTACCTTCTTTCACCATCTATGTATTTTATCATATTACTATCTCTACTATTTCCATACGAAATATGAGGGACAACAATATCAATACAAGTGTGTGTGTAGTGTTAATATACAGTCTATTGTTAGCTGACCTGTGTTCCTGTCGCATTTCCTGCAGAGTGTGGTGGGCGCGTACTTCATACAGACGTACTTGAGGGACTCGAAGCAGTAGAAACTGAAGCCTGCGTAAGGGATCATACCCACCATGGTCGGCACGAAGCCGCGGTATAGAGCGTGGATACCGCCCTCCTAAAACATACATCATATTTTTCTCCTAAGCCCCTAAATAGTTGGTTATAGTTTTCGAAACTTTACGATAGATGAGAATTTTGGGCGTATTCCTTTAAAATTTTCTATGAACCCAGTTTTACGATAAACAAAATTTTAAGGGAGGCGGACTAATGCTGGTTAGATGAAATATCACTTTATTTTAGTTTTAAGGAATCAACGTTGTTTTTTTTTTTTGGTTAAAAGTAGCTGGGAAACGGTACACAAATGACCTTGACCTGTGGACATAATTTAAGTATTGTTTCCACTGACCGTGCGGAACATGGTGATGGCAGTGTTAGCGATACCAGTGTACCGATGCTCGCCTGTCACTTGGAAGGCGAGACGCGCTCGTATCGTGTCAAGCGGGTAGGTAAGCGTGACCGCAGTAACGCCGGCCGCTGCACCCGCCACAAATTTATCCCCGTGCTGCACCATTGGGATGTTTATCGCGCTTAGGTACTGTAAAACAATAAATGTGGTTGTTAGAATACTTTTTTACTAGCACTAACCGATACATTGATAATTGTATAGGCACTTGTTGCGAGTGCCGCAGAAATGATCCTGGAAGTCAGAACCAAAAATTGGTGTAATTGAAACTCTTTAGTGAGGTGACATGACCTTGGCATTTCTATATTAAAGATAAAAATTACATTTATGCCATATCCTTAAACAACATCTATAGAGTTTCAATTTGTAAACAACTGCTTGAAATTCCAAGCACGAAACAATACACCCACTATTATATATGTAGTTCGTACTAAGAGGATGTTTACATAGTTCAGTGGGTGTGTCGTCAAAAACAAACAAAACATTATTGTACTACATTACTCAAATATACGTTTATACAACAACATAATAATTCTCACCTAAAGCTACATGAAATCTAATATCGTGATAAACGAATGATCGTGATATATCTGTTACTACAACAACCTTAAAAACTGAATACACAAACATTTTATTATCAATTGTAAACAAGATTCATATTGAGGTTTTCAAATGCTCGGAACGTTGCTAGTCGTGATGCAGAACATGTTAGGTGTAAGCAATTATGTGGTGCCTAGGACACATAATGTATTTCGAGATCGAATACTTAGGGAACTTTTACCTTATTTCAGATTACTTGCAGAATGTAAAGATAAAAGTAAATTTAAAATAAAAAAAATGGTTTGTAGATAAGTTATCCTAAACTTAAATACATATCTCACAGTGAAAATATTCATAGTTTTTTAAGATGTTTTTAAAAACCTCTATGTACCTTATATTATAAAAATTTAGATGGATGGATGTTTATTAGAGTTTGTAGTCAAAATTGCTGAACGGATTTTGACGATTTGGCATAGATGTAGAGAATAGTCTAAAATAACGGCGACATATTTTTTTAATACGACGCGGACAGAGTCGCAGGAGAAAGCTAGTTATAAATAAATAAAACAGCGGTGTGAAATGTGATGCGATGGAAGAAATAGTACCTTGGACGAATAGTAACTTGGTATGATTCGTGTCAATATAGCTTACAAGAATGTCATCTCTTTTGTTTCCTTTGAAACTGAGACGGGAATATTTTTTCGTAGTCTCCACAGTGTAAATACAATTACGTTATACCCGTACCACTTGTCAGTCCATTCAGTACTGCGGCCCCTTGCATCAATTTAAATGCTAAATTGAGAATTGATTCGTCTAGGATTTGAATAAAATTTATTAGGAATACCAGTTTTATTGATGTAAATAATTATATTCACATAGGCAAATATGTAAACATAAAATTTACAAATTTCTATAAATTTACTAATATAATAAATGCTAAAGTTTAGATGGATGGATGTTTGTTACTGCTCCAGAACGGCTTAATAGATCTCGCTGAAGTTTAGAATATCATAGAAAATAATTTATTTAAATCGTGGACAGAGCCGTGAACAAAAGCCAGTTTAACTATACGTAACAGATACGGATTTAAAACAAATCATTTATTAATTTGATATTTATGTTAACAGGAGGAAAATGTCTAAAAGAATCGTTCAGAATACTTATTAATGTTATTTCTGAGATATCAAATATTTTACAGATGTATTAGGAATAGATTATGTAACACGGAAAAAATATTATTTCCCTCATTAGCATAAAGCAACGGTCAATGTCATTTCTTACTGTGATAAAAAAATGAGTGAATGATTTACTGCGATAATAGAATAGAAAAAAACAATTAAAATTTATAAAAAAGAATAATTAAGTTAGTGTTTTTTTTTCAAAACTGTCACCATCGAGGTTTATTATTTAATGTATTCTATTAATTATATAAGTTTTGCAATAAATAAGCAAGCTATATGAAATTTGTTCCTTTCGTAGACTAAACGTTTTAACAGATTTTCAAATGATGTCAATTGATTGGTTCGTTTTCCCGACGGATTATTCTAGATTGGAGGTTGTTTTTGATTTTTTTATTAACATGTTATTGACGTAAAATTGTCCTATAATGAATTATTCCCGTTGGAAAAATTAATTTCACGATAAATCAATACGTTACAGATTGGCTTTACGTTGTAGGAACAAATTTAAAATTCGCATTTTAATCAGATGTGACAAAAGGTACGCAGTCAGTCTGACCTTGAGTTGCTGTGTACATTACAATGAACAAACCGATTTCATTACACGAACACCCAGCTTTGTTCAGATAACTATTGTCAGAAATACAACGACATTGTTTTCATTCATACAACACTTACATATTGTAATCTCTTTTTTTTATAACATAAGATGGCAAACGAGCAAGCGGCCACTTGAATCCGCCAAAATGGCGAAGCGACCGCTGCTCTAAGACATCCGCAATTACAGATGCGTTACCTACCCTCATCCGACGGAGGAGTAGACGCACATAATAAGGATATTTCCACTTGCTACGCATTTCCTGCACCGTCAAATCCACTTCCTCTTCCCATCCTCTTAAAAGAAAAGGGTGGTAAAGAGAAAGGGACTAAAATTAGGCCTCCGGCATCACACTCATCAGACGAAACACGGAATTGCTTCCATTTGACGCCTGTTTTCTGTGTGGTCGTGGTATTACACCGGGCGTGCCGGCCTATTCGTGCTAAGATGTTGAAGCTGGCACTACCACTGTAAATTTCACTTTCATTCCCTTTGGCAAAATAGAGACAACAATATTAAGAAAAATGCTATGAACTTTCAAAAGGGCAGAGAAATTAATTCTGAGTGCAAGGTGACTCCATTATGCATTTTGACGACATTTATCTGACGACCTTATATGAAAATAAGGTTGGTTTTAATCATTTAAGGAAATCACTTATGCTTCAAAATGTTATTGAATGCATGGTTAAAATGGGTTTTGAGGTTTTTTACGAATATTATTCCAATCGCGTCTTCTGAGAGAATGTGGTAGATAGCTATTCAAACCAAGTAAATGTTTTTATTAACTACCATTGTAAATTAATACAATAATAAACAAATAGTAAAACAAATAAGTTTGCAATTAAATTATAAGATTTAAATTGATATCACAATAACATAATTGTGGTTAATTTATTTTTAATTACTAATTCAATTTGTTGTTATTGGATAATAATATTGTATGGAATATTCAAATTGCTTTTGTTCTCTTTAATAATACGGAAATAATTTTACCCGCGACTTAATTCAGGCGGAATTAAAAATAACTTAGTAAGTAACGTAAATGTTCTTGCAGATTATGTTATAATTATTTAATGACTAGCTTTCGCCCGCGACTCCGTCCGTGTAGAATAAAAAAAAAAAGTAAGTAGCTTATATGTTCTTCCAGACTATGCTAGATCTATGCCAAATTTCATGGAGATCCGTTCAGCCGTTTAGGCTACAAACGCTAACAAACATCCATCCGTCTAAACTTTCACATCTTACTAATCTCACTAATATTATACTAATATTATAAATGCGAAAGTATAGATGGATGGATGGATGGATGGATAGATGGATAGATGGATGGATGGATGGATGGATGTTTGTTAGCGTTTCTAGCCTAAACGGCTGAACGGATCTCCATGAAATTTGGCACAGGTTTAGAGCATAGTCGGGAAGAACACATAGGCTACTTTTTATCCCGGGAATAGTCACGGTTCCCATGGGATTCACTAATTTAGTTTTTTAATGTTTACCCGATCATTCTGCAACGGTTCAGTATATATTATTGAAATTTGGCACAGATATAAAACAAAGTCTGGAGTACACATGGGATAAGCTTCATCCCCGAGAAATGTCCGGTTCCCGAGGGATACGTAGCTTTTTGTAATTTATATAGTTCGTATGTTTTCTAATGCCACGCGGACGAAGTTGCGGGCAACAGCTCGTATATAATATCAGTAAGATTATTGCATTAATACACTTTATTTGAAAGATACATCTTACAAAATGTAAATTGTTGGAATCACGTAACGACTTCCACATTTTTTATGGTATTGTTGGTTTACACATCAAATTAATAAATTTACATATTCCTTTCAATGTAAAACATTTTTTTCCGTAATGAAATTAATTTTTTACTTTACTTTTAGATGTATCATTAATTAGATGGTGCTTTTATTCAACTAGATCACGTTTTTATCAAATGTCAATGTATTTTTTTTTTAATTCTTACATTGTATTGATAACCTTTGAGGCTAGTTAAATTTAAACTACACAAAAAAAACTACTTCACTAATAACTAGTACATTACTGTATTTTTCGTAGACCTTGTTATATAGATAAAAGAGAAGACTAGCTTTCGCCCACGACTCCGTCCTCTATGGAATTAAAAAAAAGACAAAAGGAAGTAGCCTGTGTTCTTCCAGACTATGCTCTACATTTAAGATTCATTCAGTGGTTGAGCAGCAAACATAAAGAAACATCCATCCAAGCATTCACATTTTTTTTTCTATAAAAAAAAGGGGGCAAACGAGCGGCGTGAACACCAAGATGGTCGACGACCCATGGACATCCGCAACACCAGAGGAACTACAGATGCGTTGCCGGTCTTTGAGGAAATGATAGGCTCGCTTTTTTAATAAAATAAAGTCTTAAACTGTAGATGCTAAGATTTTGTCTTCTTAAATAGTAATTTGTCATTAGAGATCCTCGGACTTATGAATTTTTATAGACTTAAATATTGAAATAGAAGACATGTTTATTATTAAAACTCTTTCTACTGTTAAAGAGCCTATACAAAAAAACATATTTTCATCTTTTCATACCATTTATATTTACTCATATTCATAATCATTGACAATACATCTTTGTACAGAAGATGTTAATCTGCGAGTTACTTTACTAAGGGCCTGTCACTGGCTGATAGATAATCAGATAGCTTAAAAATGACATCACTGGCAGCTAAGAGAACAAAATCCGATATTTCCATTACATATTTTACACATTGGTTTGTTATCAGACAATTTACAATTTGGTGGAACAAGCCTTAAATATTTAAAACTAGCTGTCGCCCGCGACTTCGGCTGCGTGGAATTAACAGAAACAAAACTAAATAGCCTATGTGTTCTTCCAGACTATCCTCTATATCTATGCCAAATTTTATCAAGATCCGTTTAGCTGTATAATTTACAATCTTTAATAAACATCCATACATCCATTCAAACTTTCGCATTTATAATATTAGTATGAAGTAAGATTTAGAAGCCCAGTAACACATCATTAAATAATTTTGTACATTCTAGAATGAAAGATAATCAGGAAGAGATGATTTTGTCAGAAATATAAGTTTTTTCTTACAATACAAGATATGTAAATAACTGCAAAAAATTATAAAGCCAACTTCGTTACCATGTATCTGAAGAAATGACCTTTTGCTCTTTTCTTCATTCAATTTAAAGTTGTATTATTTCATATAATTATCAGGAAAATTAATTTTAAATTATTTACATTTCATTATCACAATAAATCATTGTCATTTTAAGTTATGGTGTTTACATTGAAATATTTTTTTACATACCTTCTTGTAAATCTCAAAACTTGTGAATTGTGTCGCCGCATATGGGAATATTCTGACCATTTGAGCACCATTCCCCTTGTATAGAGCAAAGATGGATTCTTGTTTGACAATTGCAGTCAGTCCTCCGAACACTCCATGATGTTTATAATGAACTGATTGTGCTTGCAGGAGGATCTTTATTCTGTCAAGTGGAGCTACTGCCGTTTTAGCACACATGCCAGCTACACCTGTTGTACAAAAAATGCTTTAACACACTTATTTTTTAATTTTTTCAATATTATTTCACTAGAAAAATTATTTTACTAACAATATAAAGTATAAAGTTTTAGATGGTTTTAATGTAAATTAATTTTATTAAATTAAAATAAATAAATCAAACATACCTCCTGCTAATAAATTCCTTAAGATAAAATCTAGGTCACTCTTTGGTTCCATTTTTAAAGCCATTTGTAATTAACTTCTGTGACGAGTTTTCAAAACACAATTTTACTATTTTCTCAAACTTAACATTAACAAGTAAGGTGCCAATTGTTTTAATTTAACTTAATTATATGCCATAACAAGTAGCATATCTTCACGATTTAGCACGAAACATTTTAGACAAACTTTCACCGCCGATTCTTGCTTACTTTCCTTAGTTTACGGTTCTTCCGTTTGTTTCGTAAACAGTTTGTTCGTGCGGTTTAATCCCTACCCGGAGTTTGACTGCCGAAAGGCACCACTTAAATGAACGATGTTGAATACATTTCATTTAAGAATATTTTAATACTTTTTTTATCTTATTTTTATCACACTATTTTAACGAATACACGGAACCACCGTCAACGTCAATTTGTCAATGACTCAGTCAAGTCAACTCAGTGACGTTTGGTTGACTTTTGTTGCCTTGACAGGTGGCAAAGCGGATGTTTATTTGAATGAAAGAACGACGTCTTGTTTAGAATGAACGAAAGAAAGAACTACTGCTACCACTACTACCGGTTCCTGTTACCTTTGAATTTTGATAGACTCTATAAAATCAAATTCAAAGACTTTTATAGACTACTTAACTAATCTGCAAAACTTTACTAGGTGGCTATTACTACTACGGGCTATTACTAATAGAATTTTGAATATTATAAAGGTTTTGAGGTGCCATCTTGTGGTGAAAACATGTAATAAGATAGTAGTATAAAATTCCAATTGATTTTTTGCTACAAAACACCAGATGTCGCTAATAACGGTGAAAGCTGATGAAAGCCTTATGTGTATTATGAATAATATAATTTTATATTTTTTAACAAATTAAGATTATAACTATGCTTAATATAATTAGATTAATTTGAGAACGTATAAAAGTAATTAAAATCTCATACGTACTTTTGGTTCAATCGATCTCTAAGGAGCAAGAGCTTTGAAGGTCACCTTGAAAGACCGCGAAAGCTCAAACGAGACGCTCGGAACGTCAGAAACATTTCGGTACATGGTAGAAATCACGTACGATGGACTGAAGGAATGTGCCGGCTATAAGTGAATTAAGGAGAGGGTAGAGTATTTAGTATTATGCCTGTGATTGCAACATGTTTGTGATCGCTTGCATTTAGTAAAACGTTTCTCGGACGTTCCCGGCAAACGCGTGCGACATTCCGTTGATACCAAACGTGTGCGTTTGGTTTATTTTGTGTAATCACAAGAGTTTTTGTTAGAAGTAATCGACCGTTATTTTAAATTATCACCATGGATGATGCTGATGTACCAGCAAAAGGAAATATATTCGGAAGTAAGTTTATTATATTTAATTAATGCGTTAGAAACGAGTCCTGCGTTTGTTTATTATTGATAAAACTGCAATAATTTCTGTAAACGATATTTTTTTTTTAATTTCGTGCTAACAGGGAAAATTCAACGTAATTTTAAAAAATATCTATTTTAATAATGCAGTTTATGAGTAACATGTATGAGATATCTAGAGGAAGGAAAATTACGGAGAAACTAGTAAATTCAAAACATTTTTTTATTGTTGACATGGTTTTACGTCATCGGAATTAAATCAACACACGCAGTTGAAAAAGTGCATTGAACTCGGACGCATAACGATAAAATTAAAATAACGTCAGTAGGGTTGTCGACACTATAAAATCACATATGATCTAAGTCACATTTAATTAATTTTATCTATATCAAATAATAACTAGGTATCTTTGATTTCTTAGTTTACTTTTGTGATAATCAGAGCTTTTTTAATTTGATGAAAAATTTAAAAAAATACAATTTTTGTAGAGATTCTTGATCAACCTTGATTTATTCATTCCTATTTCATATATAGGACAACAAGAACGTTAACTGTGTTGAAAGTTAACTCATAAAATAATTATTAACTTCGTAATTATCAGATTGACGACAAAATCTTCTTTGTCTATTAAAAATAGATCACTCTAGACACCAGTAACAAAAGATGTTCAAACGTAGGACAAGGCACGAAGGGTTTCTTTTGGCTGTTTTCTTCGTCCAGAATAAAATTTTAGAACACCTCTTGTTTCTTCACAATACCGTACCTTGAGCTTGACATGTTACGAAACATTTTATTCTGGATCTTATAACCTTTTAATGTGGGAAGGTCACAGGATAATGCGCCAGGTTTACTTCAGATTTATTGTTTTATACTCTATTCTGTTGGTGATAAAGATCATTATTAAATACAAGAAATGTGTTTATGTTATTTGCTGTGACTGTTTATCTATGAATCTTTGTATGTACAAGTCTCTTGAAGCCGTCTCGAGTTCGATTTATCATTTTCCTGAACTGTGCTAATTGTTTAGCGGAATCGATTGTAATAACGAGTAAGGAACCAAATCTTACTCTTGAATTAATTGTTCCATTATGTGTGGCTTTTGTTAGTAAAAAACACAAAAGTTACTTCATGTTTTAACTTATACGAGATGACGAAATAAAGAGTAAACTTTGTTAACAGAGGTGGTGCCGGCGCGGTATGTACTCGCCGTGCTGGGCTCTATTGCGATGGCGATTGTCTATGGTTTGAAGGTGAACCTGTCAGTCGCTATGGTGGGCATGCTCAACCACACCTCTATACGACTGTCCTCGCATCCTGACAGGAACCACCTGGAGTTGAGCAACTACACGGCACCTAGTGACGTCGAATGTCAACCCACTTCTGGTGAAGGTCATGTCACGGTAAGATAACTCAAGACGTAGTTATTAGACTAGTACGGATGTACGGAACAGTTTAGGGTTTTCACACTGCTAAAATATTCCAATAAAAACGTAGATTTTATTTGAACAAACGTTAAATGTAAATAAAAAGGCAGTGTTATTTATAAATCGGGCAACATTTTGCATTTCGTGTTTGGCGCCAAAACAGATTACATTTCCAGCACAACAATAATTGTCTTGAGAGAGCTGAATTGAGATTAAGATTTACAACAATTACATATTTAGTGGCGACTGGGCCATAAAAACTGTTGTAAGATTTTAGGTGTAGTTTAATCATTATTAAACTAAAAATGGACCATGGTCATGTCAGTATTTTAAGTCTACTTTATTAGTACTAGAATCTTAATCCCTTTAATAATAGTTTCTAGATAATATGTATCCGATCATACAAAATATTTGTAACAAGGTTGCATCTTGATAATCCATAATCGTAAATAAATCGAGATTTTAAAGCGCACTAACAAAATAGAATTTGATTTCGACTATTATAGTTTGTAGCGAACATTAAACTGTGACCTTGAGCGACGAAAAGAGTTACATCTCCTGTGTAATTCCTGAAGAGATTACTTTTTTCGCTGCATGGCTGGATTGTTTGGAAGAGGCATTATCTTATTTATTTCTGGTATTGTATGCTTCTGTACTAGTGGCAGCAATGTGATCAAAATGCTGTTGTGAATTTTGGATTAAATCCAAGAAAAATATCCGCGGATAAGTAAACGATTGACCTTTTCTCCTATATAATATCTAAATTTGGCTCTTTGTTTTTACACATCTTAATTATTAGAGTTAAACTCTGTAATTTTTTCAGGCCGTAATTTTGGGTAAAATATAGATAATGGTCGGTATTCAAGTCACTTTAGGATGTTTAAAAGTGCTATAAAAGTCGCTGTTTAATTATTTTTATCGCGAGACACGACGGTCATCGTAATTCAATCGGGCAACATGTAATGACCGCGACACATTTATGGAAGTACCAATGTGGCCTCTTTATATCAATGAAAATAAAATCAATCTTTCTGTTTGTCCTCTATGCGTCCTTAAAAAAGTAAAATCGTTATAAAACCTAGGATGGGTTCCCTGTAGGCGCTTGGGAGGTTTTCTGACCACCACATAAGAAATACATTTTTATAAATGTGATTATCTTGGAGCTTGGAGCTTGGAGCTGTCATATGTCAATTTTGGCGCGCAACAGTAATTTCGCTCAGTATTCTGTAAATGTTTTCTATAATAATCATTCTCTATTTACTCTACTATTTACAGACTAAATGGGTAATAAGATTTCCTAAAACAAAAATGTGTAATCCAAAAATAAACATTTAAGTATTCTCATACGACGTGACTTTGTACACGCGGGACGTTCCGATATGCTAATGAATTTGAAGACTTACTCATAGTTTGCATTTACAATTATAGCAACTACGCAAGTTTAGAGTTAATGATGTTAGAGCAAAGATAGATTATAGATGACTATTATATCCATACAGTAAAATGTATTTGTTTATTGCTACTTGTTTTAGGAAATGGATGGACCATTCGAGTGGTCATCGGAAATTCAAGGCATAATCCTCAGTTGCTATTTCTGGGGTTATTTCGTGTCTCAAATACCCGGTAAGTTGTCTTAAGAAAGAATAATAATTTTATTAATTCCGAATGCATAATTTGAGAGTGAACGTTAGGTCAACACCGTTATTTAGCGGTATCTTTATGAATAAATTAAACAAGTTTTAAAGCCCTTCTATCATGTATAAGATGATCTATAAAATAAGGAATAAGAAAATAATAATCAATATGTAAGTTTAATTGCTAATAAAGACCACCATAGTATATTAAAGACCGTTGAAAACCTACTGGCTAGATGGCGCTACGGTTCAACATGACTATAAAATCAACATTAGGGTAGACAGAGTAGAGTCCGGTGCGTTCCTCTGGAGATTCCGGGACCGGCCACCGAGGGGGACAAAAAAAAAGATAGAGAACAAACGTCAAACACACGAGTATAAACTTTAAGTGAAATGTAGGTGCTCGAGTGGCAGAACTCTTCTCAGCGAAATGGGTGATGTTCTTCAGCGTGACTATAAATGTGGTATGCACACTACTGACACCTGTCATGGCGGAGGCCCATTACATTGCAGTCGTAATTATGAGAATAGGAGAAGGTATTGGCGGGGTATGTATACATGAAGATCATTTTATAGTCTGTACTACATTTTGAAAGCAACAGATACTTGAAAGAACTAGACAGTAGTTGAATCCGCTGCGGCAAAAAACGAAAGGCACACTCGTCCTGGGTAATACCATGACCATTCAGAAGACAGGAGTCGTATTGTTTAGCTGGAACCCAATTTCTAGTTCCCTTTCCTTATCGTAAGGATTTTTTCCTAACGTTAATTACTATGTTCTAAACTTTGTTCAACTTTTGATAAACCGTTTTTGTCTTACAGGGCGTAACATTTCCCGCAATGCACGTATTGCTGTCAAAATGGGCGCCGCCGGCAGAGCGCAGTGTAATGGCGGCGTTGGTTTACGCGGGAACATCGCTCGGTACTGTCATATCGATGCTGATGGCGGGCATGCTTACTGCATCGTTGGGTAAATTATATTGGTTCTGTAATAATCAATGAAATACGATGTAAAACTGTCAGAGTAACAGTGATAAGTGGAGAGAGTACTTAAAACTTGATCTTCGATCATCAGAAGTTTCTAGAAAGATCATTCTGAACGATCGGGCAAATATCTAAGCTTTCCCGAGAATAACTGATTATCTCGAGGTTGCACAGAAAGTTTAGATGCATAAAAGTCGAGTTTGTAACCTAAACTGCCAAACGGACCTCGATAAAATTTGGCATATACATATGTAGAGTCTAGAAGAACACTGGTACTTACTACGTTTCTTTTAATAACGCATGGACGGAATCTACGGCAAAAGTTTTCTTATTTCTTTAACAGATTCTGACGTAATATCTGAAAGAATTTAATGACTCCCTCACCTCGTGTAGGTTGGGAGAGCGTGTTCTACGTGATGGGAGGTCTATCATGCCTGTGGTGCGTGCTGTGGGTGACGCTGGTTCAGGACACGCCGCAGCAGCAGCCACTCATCAGCATCGAAGAACGGGAGATGATCATCACCTCGCTGGGAGGGAAGACCAATGATCATAGTCCACACAAGGTAACTTTAACAGCTTGATTTACCTTGAAGAGTTTTTTTTTCTATTGGTCTACTGAGTGAGGTCACTTCTAGAAGTTGCCGGTGCCGTGGCGCGCGGTCCTGACTTCGCCTGCGTTCCTGTCCATCCTGGTGGCGCATGCTTGCTCCAACTGGGGCTGGTATATGCTGCTCATCGAGCTTCCCTTCTATATGAAGCAAGTCCTCAAATTCAACATGACTGAGGTATGACTAAACATACTAATATTATAAATGCGAAAGTTTAGATGGATGGATGGATATTTGTTAGAGTTTGTAGCCTAAACGGCTGAACGATTTCAATCAAATTTAGTTTAGATTTAGATGATACACTGGAATCATACATCATAGACTACCCACTTTTGTTTTTTTTAATTCCACGCGAACGGAGTTGCGGGCGAAAGCTACTTAATAATATTAAAATACAACAGCTTGAAGTTGCCCAGGACATCTTCCTTTGGTCAAGTGATAAACTTTTTTTTCGGTTGATTTATTTATGTTTCACTTTTTTCACATGTTTTATTAGCCGCAGTATCTATATTTTCACCGTTGTCATTGTTTGTTGATAGAATGCAGTAACCACGTCCCTACCATTCCTCTCGCTGTGGATCTTCAGCATAGCGCTGAGCCGCACGCTGGACTGGCTGCGCGGCAGGAACATCATCACAACCACCACTGCTAGGAAGATTGGCACTTTGTTCGGTGAGATTATATATATGGTAATTGACAGATTCGGTAGGGGTTGAGGGAGAACACCTCTCTTTTTTTTATAGGTTGGTACTGATTGAAGTTACCAATAAAGAAAAAAAGAAATTTTACGGTAATGCCAAGGGGGAAATATGCTTAATATTTGATAGAGGTAAATCTAGAAACGTATGGATTGCGTGAAAGATGAAGGGAGTGAAGACTGAGATGACGGATGACAGAGTTATTTGGCGGAAAACCCTGTGCCTTGACCCTACGGGAGTAGGACAAGGTGGGGGAGATGATGATGATGATTAGATGAAGGGTTATGAATCCCCAGCGTCGCTGGTGCCGGCGGCGTGCCTGCTGGCGCTGTGCTACGTGGGGTGCGCGCGCGGCGCCGCGGTGGCGCTCACCGCGCTCGGCGTCACCTGCATCGGCGGCATGTTCTGCGGATTCCTCTCCAACCATATCGATATTGCGCCTAACTTCGCCGGTAAGTCCAAGTTACAGATAGCTTTATTGTTACTAATGTAGTATAAGAGACTTTCTAACAATTTTAGTTGAAACGTTTGGGCTTGAAATAAATTATTATTATAGCTCGACTTACAAGACATATATTTTGAACGAGTACGTATATTTCTGTTCTGTTAAATCTTAAATCTTAAGATATCAATAAGGTCGATTGACTGAAGATAAAATAAATATGTATTCTACTTTTAAAACAATTCAAAACGTGGCGATATATTGAAAAAAAAAGCAAAAAAAGGGCTATTTGATTTCACTTTACAATGCTGTTACATATACTTAAATTATGAATCTAAAAAAAATCATACTTGGTCCTTCGAGCAGAATGGTTACATATAAAATATTTTCAGGTACCCTCATGGCCTTGACGAATACAGTCGCGACTATTCCCGGTATTGTTGTACCCATTTTCGTCGGAATATTGACACATGGAAACGTAAGTGTACAAAATTACAGACCAACTAATTTTTTTGACCCGGTAGATAAAAATGGATAAAAGAAACTAAATCCTGATAGCTCATTAACGTCCACTTTTTATGTCATCTATACTGATATTGTAAAGTGTAGAAGAGTAAAGAGGAAATATTTGATTGTATTGAAATAACTCAAAAGCTAATGACCCGATTTGAAAAAATCTTTCACCATTAAAAAGCTAAATTATCGCTGAGTAACATAGGCTATATTGTTTAATTTCACGTGGACGAAATCGCGAGCAAAAGCTAGTTTTCCATATCCTTGTAGGTTTTACATATTTTGTGACAGAAATAAACAAAATCAGCGATCACAGGACTACACATTGATTACTATTAGCAAAGTATAAAAGAATTATTTCATTTCCAGCAAACCATATCAGCGTGGCGCGTCATCTTCTTCGTGACAATAGGGTTGTACATAATAGAGATAATAGTGTACACGTTGTTCGGGTCCGGAGAGCAGCAGCCCTGGAACAACCCACCGGAGGACCACGAGGAAGAGGGGGCCAACAGACCTTTGAATTCCACTACGGAGAAGACACATGTTTAAACTTATTAAGGGGGGATAAAAAAGTTAGAGCCATGGCTCTAGATGCACCACATATACATAAAGCGATTTTAATTCATGCTTCATGTTATGTCGCTATTGGACAGTAAGACAGCCAACTGTCGCTAATGAGACAAAAAACCATACCAAGCGCAACTGTCCAAAAAGTAGAGCCGCGTCTCTATTCACAAGATAAACATAAACTGATTTTAACGCTTGGTTTATATTATGCCAGTAATGTTGGACAATAAGACAGCTAAGATTCGCCAATAAGCCAAATACCCATGACAGCGTAACTGGCATAATAGCTAATTTTACATATAAAATATCTCTGTTTTTTTTTTTAATAACATAGAAAAATAATGTTCTACGCATATCGTTTATACTAATGAAAATTTAGATAAAATAAATATATTTATTAACTATCTTAGTTAGTAATAATATGTACTTATGTATTAGTTTGCATTTAAATTTGGATTTTTTTTAAATAAATTTATACGTTTTTAAAAGCTATTTTGTGGCAAATGTACTTTTAGGTCGACTGTAATTTAGGTTATTTAGTTAGGCATTGATCTGGTTTGAACTGATTTTAGTATTATAAGGTTTAGTTAGTTTTTTTTAATACATTAAAATCAAAATTTATAAGAGGGATTATATTAATCTTATTTTAATTGGTTTATTCTGTATCAGCCATATAATGATTAGTCAGGATTTATTGACTGTATTATTTATATTTGTTTAGAAGTAGTTAGTGAATTATTTTTTTTAAGTATTGCCATAGACTGTCTTCATGACGTTACCGCGTCTATTAGTATTTTTTTTTATTTTTATTAATTATTATAGAGAAATTAGTAATCTTTACACTATTTTAATTTTTTAATAAAGTGATATTAACCATTTTTAATTGTACTTAACGAAATTAGTGCTGTGGATTATCCTATAATTTTTTTTTATGACATATTCTGTTTATAGAGCGACAAGTTATTTGACCCGGTATAATTTGACTAAAGAGCACACTAGCGCTCTCCTTTTATGTTAATTTTTATATATATTTGTAGGTTTTTTTTTGACAGAACCAACCGATTGGCCTTTTTACCGAGATATCTTAATTGAGTATAGAAATAATATAATTGAAGTTTTTATAATAAATACTTGTATAAATGTTATATTAAAATATCATTATTGTTACTGGCAGGCTTTAAACTTTTTTAGTGTACATCTATTTTTGAGACTTCGCTTACCAAAGACGCGACTTATTGTATAGTACTTATGTATTTTTTTTTAACAAATAAAGTTAAAATTAAAATAAAAAAATTATGTTTTATTAAAAGATTGTATGTAAAATGTAATGTAAAACCTAAATGTAATAATAAATTTAATGATAATATATTTAAAAAGATTTCCATGATTAACAAATAATTAGTTCTGAGATTTGAAACTAAGAACATTTTTTCCTGCAAAAGGGTTATTTATATGAAAAACTAAAACTACTATCCCACAGATAAATCAAGGTAAGCAAATAAAGAAAACAATACTATCAACATTTTTATTACTTAATTACTTATCGTTACTTAACCCTGACAAGTCTAGCGATATACGCAGGACCAAAGTTAGCGGCAGTGGAAGGCAGCACCAGCTGGCCGTAGCGCGGCTTAGCTGCGCCGCTCGCAAGCTGTAATGTGCTGCTCAAACTGCGCAGTGGTGATGAAAGATCTCTGAAAAAGAACATCACTAGATGTTTATTTACTTATTTATTTATAAAATATACCAACAAATAAGTTACGGAACAATCACATAAGAAATAAAATATACGACACAAGAATGTTAATATTTTTTTTATAGATATGTATAAATAGATAGGCGATTGTTACCTAATGACAACTTATACTTCGTTCTGACTTAAACGATTTGATGTTATAATAGTTAAGTCTATCATTATTAATTCAAAAACTTTTCACACGATCAACTGCAACAATCAGCGTCAAAATTGCGAAAATCAATTACCATAGTTATAGCCTATCCATTTAAACAGGTCAGTGATTGAAACCGACTGATCGATTGTCATCTTAGTGTCATCAATTATTTTTTTTGTTAATTATTTATTTATTTGAAAGGTACACCAATTTTTTAAATATTTTAACCTAATTAGATCAAAAAGGTGTGGAGTGTATCGCTGATCTTTTTTTTTTGACGAGATTCCGCTATTTGATACGGAATGTAATCCATTTGTGTGGTGTATGTGTGTTTTCGCTGCGAGTTGAGTCTGTGTGTGTATTGTGCAGTGTGCTTAAGTTACTAGTCTTAATTCTATTCTAGAGAACCAGAGAACAACTACTGTAGCAAATACAACCAATTGCATGTTCAAAGTTCAAACAAAGAAGCAGAAGAACATACAGATGACATGCGTACACAAATTATTATTTTTAACTAGTTTATTAAGACATACTTGACAACAGCTACGATCTGGTACGTTTCGAAGGCGTGTTTGAGCGCGGCGTGCAGCACGCCGTCGTTCTGCACCGGGCTCAGCGAGCACGTCGAGTACACCACCGCCCCGCCCACACGCACCAACTTCAGAGCGTTCCTATACACACAGAAAAGAAGAGAAATTAACAGATATATACATATTAATATAAAAAAAACTTTTTGATTTTGGATGTCAGAAATCACAGCATCTTTTTGATTTTTCTTTTTTTTAATAAAAAGCCCTATATTGACGATGCATTATAGGCTATACATCTTTACGCCAGTTAATTTAGGGGGTGAATAAATTGAAAAAGATTGTCATGCGAGAAAGAAACAAGACCTCCATGGTAATCGTTGACCAATTGCAAAGATTTTCATTGTCATTTAAGCATTGAAAATCTGCCATTTGCAAGTTAATAATTTCGAAAAGTGAACATTTAAAAAAGACGTTAAAATATCATGAGGACTTCATCCTTCATCCATCCTTACAGGAACAGCTTTGTCATGCTTGGTTTTTTGTAGAATATTAATTTTAAATATATACATTTCACATTCATATTCGAACACAAGTTTGAGAACCTCTGAAATCAAAGTGTGTGTAAACTCACACTAATAGTTGTGTCTGCAGTTCCGGTATCCGCAGCCTCTCCTTCACTCTGTCCGGTCTGAATATGTTGTTCTCATCCTCGTTCACTGAATGTCTATCTGTGGTGCATGGCACATCTACCAATACCTGGGAATAATTTAAAAAAAATTAAACGCAGAAAACAATTGTACAAATTTTCTCGCAATAAAAAAAGTTGCATTTCCAGTCATTTGTATGTAATATAATTGTTTTATTCAGTTTGTATTTTTTTTATACAAAAAGGTGGCAAACAAGCTAGCGGCCACCTAAATCCGCCAAAATGGATAAGCGACCGCTGCCCATAGACATCCGTAATTACAGATGCGTTGCCTACCCTAAATCGACGAAGGAGGAGAAGCACATAAAGAGGATATTTCCCCATCCTATGCGTCTCCTCCACCGCCAAATCCACTTTTCCATCCATCCTTCTCTTAAAGAAAAAGGTGGGACGGGAAAGGGACTAAAATTGGGCCTCCGGCACCACACTCATCAGACGAAACGTGGAATTGCTTCCACTTCACGCTTGTCTTCTGTGTTGTCGTGGTATTGCTGGGGGCGAGCCGGCCCATTCGTGCGAAGATGTTAAAGCGGGCTCTACCACTGATAGATTTTTTCAATACGAGGCAAACATATTGCAACACTCAGGTGTTCATAGATATCCGCAATAACAGAGGAACTGATGTTAAAGTAGCCAGAGACCAGAATTCCATTTGGCTCAAAGACATATCTTTCTCGAATTTCCTATATTTATATATTTTCGCATGCATTTGGTGTTGACGTACAATAAATTATTGTATAGTACGTGTATTAAATATACCTTGTCGAATCCTTGATCGTCAGTGAAATTGCGACCATCGACACGTGAAAGCACCACTCTTTCCCGCCATTTGTTGTTACCAAAATCAATCAAGTAGTCACGGAATACCGCTTCCGTCCTAAAAGTACATAATACTTATTCACTAGCATACGATAAATATTAAACTTTTTAATAAACTTGTAAAATAAGGATTTGTAAATTTGAAAGTGACGTTGGAAAGAATTGTATTTTGGTTATCAGGTTATCTGTAGCACAGGGGAACCTACTGCAGGAGTCAAGACTCTCATAAAATGTTTATTTTTAATAGTGAAATAAAGCATTTATCTATTGTATGACCATGTTGATCATCATAATAATTTATTTTTTCTAATTTAATTTAGAATTGTCATAAAAGATAGATTGTAATTTCTGAGATGTAAGGTAATTTTTATATGTTAGTTTTTATATCTGTGAATGTTGTGTTTGCCTGTAAATTAAACATGTTTATGTTTATATTTTTTACTGAGTTTCAACGTATGTAAATCTATTTTAATATGTTTTGCTGGCAATCCTATAAAAATAAAATAAAACAAGATAAAAATAATAAAAAAATTAAAGTTTCAAGTTTTGTCTTTCAAAGATACGATAATTTACATAGGAGCCATTGTGGACACATTTAACACATAAGGCGTGAGAATCTATACATGGAATATAGATTTTGTTTGTTCAATATTATAAAGATATATAGTTTAATTAAAAATCTCACCTATTTGACCTGGATATAGATACATCATTACAAACAACAACATCGGGTAACAATGTCTGCAACGCGACTAGGGCTTTGCCCCCCGGCGCTGAGCACAGGTCTAGCAATCTATCTCCAGGGGACAAGCAGAGTGCTAACACTGCGACAACACTGCTGCAGTCCATTGGATAATAGTTGAACACTCCTGAAAATAACATAACAAAATCAATACTGTAGCGATAACAATTATTGCAAAATTCACATTATAAGTATGGTAATTCTTACAAAAACAATTTATTGTCTATATGTATATCTATACTAGCTTTTGAGCGCGACAACGTCTGCTTAGGATAAAAAAGCAAAATCTGTGTGTTCTTCCAGATTATACATTAGAAATATGACAAATTTCATGTATGTCTGTTTATCGGTTTAGGATATAACTTCTAACAAACACACATTTATTGAAACTATCGCATTTATACTATAAGTATGATAGAAGAAAAAAATAACAACAAAATTAAAAAAATTCTTACAACGTTCTATATAATATCATATCGAGATTTTAGAAACATGCATATCAAAGGGAACAAGATGTGTAAGAAATGCAATTCATATTTATAAGTTCTGCATACCCCTCTTACCTGTTTGAGATCTCTTTGGTTCTGGAAACATACTCCAGTCACTGTTCATTTCATATGTGTACACTTTCAAATGTTCCGGAAAACTAAATTCCGTTTCTGGCTCTATTATAAGAGGGAAGTCTTTGTCTTCTGCAAAACATTGTTTTATTATAATAATAGTAATAACAGTAGAGTAATATTATACAGGTAATACTATACCTGTATAATATATAAAAATATGTTTGTTTTATTTTATTTACATTTAAAAGTGGGGCAGATGGAGGCAAAATAATTTTAAAAAGAAAATAATAGTAGAATAATAATTAGCAAGAAGTTTAAGTTTTGCATTCAATAATTTACCCTAAAAATCATTGGATTATTAACATTATTTGTGCTTTTCAAAAGTATAATAACAATTCCAAAAAAAAATTAAACCACCCAAGCATTTTTCTATATGTTAATGGATTCAAAGGTAATAAATTTTACTTACTGCTATTATAATAAGAATAATGAAGAGACTCAGGCACCCAATCATCTAAACCCTTAAGTTTAGTTGCCGGTATATATTGGTACAGAACTTCAGAATTGATCCCCATAGATGGCTCTATTATTCTAGACTGATCTATTTCCGCATTATCTAGTGCTTCATCTAAAGTTCTGTTAGCTACCCTGGAATACATAGAATACAGCTATTTCATATTTTTAAACACAATTAAAAAAAAAACAGACAAAGAATATTTACTTACATTTCCTTATCTTTTTTATTCTCTATAATTTTGTCAATATTATTGCTTAAATCTATTTTTTCGGGCACATTATTACTCTGTGGATAAACTCCAGAAACTTCATCATTCTGAAGTCTTGAAATATAATTATCTATAATGCTTGTGTGTGATTTAGATTGTACATCAGACTCTGTTTCTGGTGTATATTCATTGGAAAATGTTTGTTGTATTTTCATTAAATCTCTGAGACAATGTGCTCCTGAAAGATAATTATCAAGTTTAAATACGATTGTTATCAAGTTTTAAAATTAAATTATTTAAACTTTCGTGAGATATTTTATAATTAATTATTTACGGCTTACTCACGTATACTTTTCTTTTTCCGTGCGAGGCGCGACGCGAACGCGATACATACTTAACCCTCGCCCTGAAGAAGGACCCCCGCAGGGTCTGAAACTGGTCGGTGCCGTCACCGGAAAAAGAAAAGTATACGTGAGTAAGCCGTAAATAATTAAGTTTTAAAATTATCATAACAACATTAGACTCTTTAATGTTGCTTTTCTTTTTTCTTACCTCTATTAGAAAGATATTTCATAGTTTCTTCTTCGTCTCCATAATTATTTATAACAGCGACATATTTAGACTTACGAAGTAAGGCTTCTTTCATTGGGGGCCATTGTTCACCAAAAACCGAACCATAGAAATCATCAAAGTGGTTTAATGCCTTGTATTTAGGGCCAGTTTTCTTTCTTAGTTTTGCCTACAAACATAAACTTTTAACAAAATACTGTAACTTTATACAAAACTGAAGTAAAAAAGGATATTACCCAATGAGTCTTTGTTTTAAATCGAGCTTGTAATATGAAGAAAGATCTAGAAGATATATTTTCTTTAAGAATGTTAAACATGATGAATTTTACACATTTATTTCAGGTTGAAAGATCACATTATTTTTGTAACAATTTGTTGATATATTTCTTTAGGTTAGAAAGAAACATATGAATTTGACATTTCTTTCAAAACGTTTAGTTTTATGCAAAATAACTTTAAATTCTTTAAAAAGATACCTTTTGAATTGATGAATTAAATTCATAAAAATGTCAAAAGTAACAAATACTGTAAAAGCTAGTGATTTTTAATGCAAATGATTTTATTTGAGGGTAAACAAAGAGAAAGTAAATTAAATTACCATAAAGTGTTTCTTGTTGACAGATATGAATCAAAGGGAGAAGACAACATCGGAACTCTTTATCTGTCAACCACCCGCGAAGCCCACACCGAATTCAAGTATTGATTTGTTTACAAGGAGAAATAGGGGAAGTTTTCAGACCATCTACCTATAGCTAAGTCTAACAGCCTTGTCAAAACGATCTGGAGATAATACTTTGAGTTAATTGTTGGCTTTCGTGTTGGTATTTATCAGTGGTTCGTACCAGCTGAAAGCTTTCCCAGAGAACTTTGTGGGTCTTAATTTTACGACCCTCTTTACGCCGGGTGTTTTATCGATTGCGCACTCCCGGGTCTGATACGACGTTAAGTTTTTCGTCTAAGACGCGATAAAGATTCTAAAATGCGTGAGTGTGTTTCTGTTGGTTTATCAATCAGTATCTGTTTTTATTTTTCTATAACTTATAATAGCAGTAAAATCTGAAATATCTTGAATGATTTATTAAAAAAAAGTTTTAATTGAGATGGAAAGTGTTGTGGTTGTTAATTAAAGTGTAATTATAATATCTATAGTCATGTATGGGTTGTTGGATATCGGGCTAAGGACTGATTATATGGTGGAATGGCCAGTGGCAGGTTGCAAGTCCCACAAGGGGCTGCGCATTTGGATACAGTGAGGTCTCTGCATCAAACTGTTGTATCTTTGAGGACTGCTTTAGAAGTATCAAAGAATGAATTGAGAGAGTTAAAGCAAAAATATGAGCAACATTCTAATTGCTTAGAGTATGCTGATGTTATAGAAAAATTGACTGTTGAGAACCATATTCTAAGAAGGAAAATCATTGATTCAGGATTGGATGACAGAGAGGCTTCGGAGAATATAAAACTAAAAGTTAGTAATGTTGAGGAATGTGTAAATAATCAACTTAAAGCTGAAACTACAACTTCTGATAACAATAAAGAAGTTGCAGATAAATCAGTAGACTTGGATGAAATAAGTAATTATTCACCATCAGAAAGGCTTGAAAATATCCAAGAGGAGAATTCTAAATCAAGTATAACTGATATAGAATCACCTAGACTTCAGTCAGATATTTCTGAGGAACCTAAAAGTCAGATTACAGTAACCGAAGATAAAGGTAATATACCAAGCTATAAAACTAAATTGGAATTATTATCTAAATTTGATGTTAAAATAAAAGTAAGAACATTGAAAGAAGGTAATATTTCAACAACTGCTTCAGAAACAGATTCAAGTGAAAATCAAAAGAAAGAAGGTCCTAGAAAGGAATCACAAGATTCACAAGCTAGTTTCCAATTTAAAGAGAAAAAGGAACATTTTGATAATTTCATAGACTTGGATGGGAATGAGTTAAATTTTAAAACAGTGTCTAAAGAAAACATCAAAATGGCGGTTCCTAATGAAGCAGAGGTGAAGTCCAAGGTAGATAAATTTGATGTACAAGTGAGAATTACATCTGAAGAGAATTTGGTTGTTAAAGAAAGCACTGAACGACTTAGAAGAAAGGACACACTTAATTTGGATGTTGATGATTTGAGTCTTAGGTAATTTTTTTAAAATATTTATGTCTATCAATTTACTATGCAGAGTTAAATCAGCTAATTTTGTATAATTCTAAATTACAGTTTTTGCTTTAATCATTTTTTATTCATCTTTATTATACATGCAATTTTAATTGTCTGTAATACTCCATCTGAGGCAGGACTATAAATGTATAGTAGTAATAAATGTTTACTTTGTAATTTATATTCAACTAGTTGTTGCCCACCACTTCGTCCATGTGAAAAAAATATAGCCTATGCTACTCAGCAATAACATAGCTTTCTTATGCTAAAAGAATTTTTGAAATTGGCCCAGTAGTTTTTGAGTTATTTCAGTATACACAAAAATACAAATCTTTCCTCCTTATAATATTAGTTTTGTTTTTATTCAATTTTAATCTTTTAAATAAAAGACCTTCCAGAGCTTTGTGTTATATTTTTTTTTCTTTCAGATCTCTGTCAGAAGGTGATAACTCCGTGTTCTCTGAAGGTGGGACCACGCCAATGGAGCCCCGGCCGCCTGATGACAGAGAGGATGCTAGTGGCAATGAGTCAGAAGAGGTCGACGATATAGAACTCATATTCACTACAGATGAGTCCAAAGATATTAGTAATTTGCAGGTGAGATTACTTTCTTCTTTTTGTATCATTTTGTATGGGTGTCATGTTTTGGTGGACGCGTTGTTAACGTCAGCGATAGGTTACAAATACGGCTTGTTTTTAGCCAGGTTACATAATAGCAGCAAACAAATCAAGTGTTTTATTTTAAAGGAGACATGTTATTTTCAATATTTTCCTCTGAATTTTCAGGAAGACCTAGTGTCAATTCGTGATTCCGAACAATGGGTACCAAACTCCGCATCCACTATCCACTCTACGCCTGTGCTAATTAAATTCCACACCCTCGATCCTGACTTTCAACCTGGCGAAAGACCAGATAATGTTGACATCCGAGAAACCGGAAACGAAGGCGTCATCGGCGATTCATTCAAACAGAAAAGAGTGTCTCTGCCTAACGACAAAGAAATTAAACAAGTCGCCTTTAATGGTAAAGGTAGCTTGGATCTGCCTGGTCGAGGCATATTAAAAAGTTGCGGCAACAAGTCGGACAACATGTTGTATAAACGGAGCCCAAACACAAGTACTAGGAGATTAGACAGTGTTGATAGTCTAACCTGTGAATATAATAGGGGCTTGAGTTTTGATAATACTAAGTCTTCGAGCTTCGAATTAGGATCCAGTATGGATATTCTTAACAGAGAGGAAAGTGTGGATAGCTTCCACAAGACTGGACGTTTTGGACATCGATTCTCGTTGTTCGCGGAAACCGATATATCTAAATGCGGTATATCAGAAGACGATCTCGCGAGCAATTTTAATATACGAAGGAATACGTGCCCTAATCCATTTCAATATAGGTATTTTTAAATGTTATCTATACTAATATAAAGAGGAAAGATTTGTATTTTTGTATGTATTGAAATAACTCAAAAACTACTTAAATTAATTAATTAATACTTAAAATACTTAAGTGATTTAAAAAAAATTACAGAAAGGTGTTATCTGTGAGTAACATAGGCTGTTTTTTTATTATTTTTTAATTTCACGGGGGCAAAGTCTAGTCTAGTATGTACATAAAATATTTAACGACCCTTCTATGTCGCATATTCAGGCATTTATCTATGGTTTTTTTTACCGATTTCCCAAAAGAAGGAGGTACTCAATTCGTCTGTATGTTTTTTTTTGTTTAAAAAGTTTTGATATGTGTAAGACCGTTGCCGTACCGCGGTACAATACGCGGCGGGAAGCCTGTGACGTCATCGCGTCGTCCCGTACTGCGCGAGAGCTGCGGCCCGCGGCGGGAGAGCGCGGCGCAGACTGACATGTCCGCGCTACCACCCAGGTGGACCTCCGACGGATATCTAGCTTATAAGGTAAGTGGGATATTTGGTAGCTCATGTTATACTGGCTTGGTAATCTATATCTATGTATACTCCATACTAATATAATAAAGCGTAAACACATACTACTTCGTGACGTAGGATGTCAACAAACACAGGATATTTTTAAAATATTTAATCCTTATTAAATAGCTCTAAATATACGCTTTAGTATGTATTTTCACGGTATTAAACTTAGGTGGTAAATAAATTGGAAAAAACCCTTCATGTGGGAAAGAGACAAAAAACTACAAGCTGACAACATTAAGCAAGGTTATTATGGTAACGGTATTGAAATTTTCAATTGAGAATTAACAAATGTAAACAATGAAATAGAGATTTTATGACGCATGCGGATTACGCCGCACGGGAGCAGGTCGTGTTTTGATAGGAACGTTGTACAGAGTTCGTCTCGTGTGCTGAGTTGTCCTACGACGGTGCCGCAGCGCGTGACGTCACGGCGGGTGGCGCAGGGCGGCGCGCGGGCTCCGCCCCCCACTCGCCGCGGACACCGCACTGATGACGCTCGCCGTGTGCTACTCAGCGATATTGGTAAGTGTACAATTATGAGTGTGGTCTCCTAGATGGATAGATTGCATGAAAGGTGACATGATGATGGGAGTGATGACTGAGATGATGGATGAGTTATTTGAAGGAGGAAAACCCGGTGATTCGACCCTACGGGAGTAGGATAAGGTGGGGGAGATGATGACAGCTAAGAGGTAGAAAAAGATTAAGGTTTTCGAATTTTATTTGTACAATTGATAAATCTGGCGGTGTTTCTTAAATGCTTGGTCGGTTGAATGTTTTTTTGTAATTGGAACACTGTAGATTTCCGTCATTGTACATTTATGTGATGTTCTTACGGTTAAAAAAACATCTTGTTGCAACCTGCTTCTTGTGTGCTGTGCGTGTGTAACCCGCACTAAGCCAGCATAATTGACTGGTCTGGTCACCCCTAACTTTGATAGGCTCTTGATATGTGCTGACGAAGATTTATGCTCGACATTTCATTGATTTTTTCTGTTATTTGTAGGATTTACATCGATGGTCCCCGAGTTATCTCGATCCGCAGAACCTCTGTGGAACTTGCGTCGTACCGCACCAGATTCGCCACAGCCCAGGTTTGCTATTATGTAGTTACTAGCTTTCGCCCGCGACTACGTCTCCGTATAATTAAAATAAAAGTTATTAGACTATGTGTTTCACTATGTTCTACATATTATTAGACAACTTATTTAATTGATACTGTCGCTTTTAACTCAGAGCAATGCTTCTCGTCAAGACTCAAGTTACGCGCCAATCTATCCATACTTCTAGTGACATTGACAGCTGTCAGCTAGGGACGTGACGTTTATGCCGATAATCTAGAGTTGCGCCAATTCTATAGCACGGTACTAATTTTATTCCTAACAATATATGTCAAATTTCATCGAGATCCATTCAGCAGTTTAGGCTACAAACTCTAACAAACATCCATCTAAACTTTCGTATTTACAATATTAGTTAGATATACATTTGTAGCTGAATAATTAAACATGGTACATAATAAAATAATGTTTTCCCACAGACATCGCGGCGTGTCGTATCGTTCACCGTGTCTCAGTATAGACCGGAGCAATGATTGGTCATCCAATACCAAGTATACTAGTACTGCCAAAGGTGTGTTATAATTAATAATTAATAATCTATACAATTATAATAAAGCGTAAACACACACTTCTTTGTTGCCTAAGATGTCAGCAATTACAGCATATTTTTGAATAATTCTTTTTGTAACAAAAAGTCCTACACTGACGTCACGCTTCAGGCCATATATTTTCACGTCATTAAACTTAGGGGGTAAATGTTTTGGATAAAAACCCTAATGTGGGAAAGAGACCGTAAGTTGCTGCCAACATCAAGGAAGCAAGACTGCCATAGTAAGGTAATTGGTATTTTGACATTTGCAATTGAGAATTTGACAAATGCAAACAGAAAATTTATAAATTCATGCGGATGAAGCCGCACGCGTACAGCTAGTAGATTATATTTGCGGACCAATATTTGATATTGCTTCCATTTTATTTAACTTTTTTTGACTTTATAGACGTAAGCAATGGTTAGGTCATATATGGCGTCCACAAGTTTATAAAACTTAGAAAGATAGGTGTCGCTAGCGTAAGGAGGGGGACGTAAGAGCGAAACTGCCTCTGCAACTTAGAGAGTAAAATAGTAAAGAAAATTATTTTGAATAACTCACTCTAGACTTAGCCTAGATCATCGAACTGGCGACACCCAATAACCCTTAAGTCCGGTTCATACTTAGCCAGTACAGTTGGACAGTTGGAAGAACCAGTCATGATTGTATGCATTTATTGATGCCAGTTAGCGTTCACAATATACCAGTTGAAGCCAGTTCAATTGAGAGAAGTGTGTACCAAATTATTTCATAATGTTATTACGTCACCTTTTTATCTTATGTCCAAAGACATGTAAGAAACATAGATTAGACATAGGGAACAACATTTTTTCACCGGTAACTTCTTTGTACGGTAATAACTCAAAATTTGACAGTCCGAGACCCTTCTTATTGTTTGAATTATTTGTTTGTTTTATCGGACACCAGGTAGCGTTAGTAAGATTATCTGAAAACTATTTCAAGGGAAGGTTGCTATTCTTACTGTATATTTTTTTCTAATCTTTTTGCTTTTATACTTATAGTTTTATAAATAAATGCAGTATAAAGTTACACTTAGGAATAAACTTAGTATAAGCAAAATTTTTTATTAATATTTGATAAACACAGTTTATTCCTAAGTTTAAATTTCATCATCCTCTTGCCCTTATCCCTTACGGAGGGTCGGCACAGTATGTGCTGCTCTTCCATACGTCTCTGTCAGCCGTCATATCTGAATCCACTCCTTTCTTAAGCATATCTTTCACACAATCCATTCATACTTTTTTCGGTCTTCCTCTTCTTTTGTAGCCATCCACATTCTTTCTTAACACTTTCTGGTTTACGTCCCCATAGTTTCGTCGCATAATATGTTCCTAAGTTTAAATTTATGCCGCGTTTATTTGTAAGGCTGTTAATACGTGTGTGTTTTTGTTACGTGTGCAGGAGAGTACCGGGCGTGGCGCGGCTCGCTGCCGGATGTGAGGAACGACGACACGGAGGAGCTGCTGCAGGAGGCGGAGACCTTCCTGCGACGATCCATCGATAATATAACCATCGCGATCGACGAACGTGAGTATTACCATGTCCACTGATGATACATTAGAGAAACTATTGTTATTTTTGGTATGCTCTCTGAAAAAACTGAGTTAAATTACGTTTTAGTTGATTTGTTTAGAATTTCGAAAGCTTTTGTTAAGGATCGTGTTTTACTATCTGTACATAACAAAGCGTAAACACACACTTCTTTGTTGCCCAAGATATCAGCAATTACAGCATATTTTTAAATAATTCTTTTTTTAATAAAAAGCTCTACACTTATGGCACGCTTTAGGCTAAATATTTTCACGCCATTAAACTTAGGGTGTAAATATTTTGGATAAAAGTCCTAATGTGGGAAAGAGACCATAAGTTACTGCCAACATCAAGAAAGAAAGATTGCTAAGGTTTGTCATGTCATGTCATTTTGACTTTTGCTATTTTGCTATTTGACAATGACAAATGTAAGCAATAAAATAAAATTTTCATAATTCCTTGCGGATGAAGCCGCACGGGAACAGCTAGTACTAATATAACAAAGCATAAACACACACTACTTTGTGGCGTAAGATGTCAGCAATCATAGTATATTTTTAATAAATCTTTCTTTAATAAAAAGTGACACACATTTCACTTATGACACGCTTTAGGCTATATATTTTCACGCTAATAAACTTAGTGGGTAAATAAATTAGAAATTACCCTTCATGTAGGAAAGGGGCCAAAAACAACAAGCTGCCGACAATAACGAAGCAAGGTTATAATGGTGACGGTAATTTTGGCATTTGCAATTGAGGATGTGACAAATGTAAACAGTAAATTAAAGTTTTAATAATTTCATGCGGAAAGAAGCCGTACGGTAACAGCTAGAAAGAAAAAAAATGTATTTTGTATGTATGTAATGTAAGGTATGTAACGTAAGGACGCTTGCAAGGGAGAAATCATACTTACACGTGTCAGCGGGTGACAATGTCAGTTGTTTACAAAAAATAATAATTTTAGATGCAAACATGTCTGTTTGTAAAGATATGTGCTTAGTTTAAAAAAGGTCAATTTGTTAGGATAGGTTTGTTATAATTCGTGATTCCGATTATGTCGCAGTCAAAAGAAGAAATCAATTTGAATTTAAGTCATAATTGGAACACAAGCGCCGCCAAGCAACTTTCGTGAGAACTTAGATTACTCTGAAAATAGGGATCGTTGCGAGAACATTGTTTGAATGATATGCGCTTGGTAGATTGATGATATCCTGACTGAGGAGTATTGTGAATGTGTTGTCTGATATCCGACTTTACCCACCACATGTGATCTCGAGAAGTAGTAATTCTGATATCGTGCTAGCTCAAGCCGACATATATATATTTGTAGCTGGGTGCGTGGAGCCGGGGCGGGAAGCGGGTAGTGGCGCGGGGCGCGGGCAGCCGTACGTGCCGGGCGAGGCGCGTCAGCTGCGGCTGGGCCACGCCGTCAAACTCATCACGCCGCAGGGCCGCCTCGCGGTCGGCAGGGTCAGGTAAATTACATACATACTTTCGATGGATGTATTACTATATCCGTCTGCGCGTAGATTTACACTTATCGATTACTAGTTTTCGTCCGCGACTCCGTTCGCATGGGATTAAAAAAACAAAAGTGAGTAGCCTATGTGTTCTTCCAGACTACCATCTACATCTGTACCAAATTTCATCAAAATCTATTCAGCCGTTTAGGCTACAAACTCTAACAAACACCCATCCAAACTTTTACATCTTACTTCTTACTAATATTATAAGTGCGAAAGTTTAGATGGATAGATGGATGGATGGATGTTTGTTAGAGTTTGCAGCCCAAACGGCTGAATGGATCTCGATGAAATTTGACATAGATGTAGAGGATAGTCTGGAAGAACACATAGGCTACTCACTTTTTTTTTTAATTCCACGCGGACGGAGTCGCGGGCGAAAGCTCGTTTATAATATTAGTGACATTTATAAGATAGACGAAGTTTGCAATGTAGATATATTCCAGTCTGGAATAACATTATCAACTTGCCTTTGGACGGAGGGTCGGCACAGTATGTGCTACATCCTCTCACACAATCCATTCATGCTTTCTTCTATCTTCCTCTACCTATGTAACTATCCAGATCCAATCTTATTCTTTATGGAACAGCTCATAGCATATTTGTTTACTTTTCAAAAATGTTTTACGTTGTCACATTTGTCCAAAAAATAACTACATTACAATCACAAAGATATTGATTTGTACAGTTCAGATTATTTAATAAATTCGAGCGTTATAAGCAAAATTAATGTTGCATCTTTGTACGAAAATTGTTATATAACTTTCTTTTATCCAGATACGTGGGTATAGCGGGGGGTAGCGCTGCCAACAGCGGGGTAGTGGTGGGTGCGGAATTCTCTCAAGCACAATACCCCGGGCTGCCTTCCAACGACGGCACCTACCGCGGCCGCCGGTACTTCCTCGCTCCCCCGCACTATACCGCCATGTTTGTGCCATTCTCTAAAGTCGTAATGGCTTGGGCTAATTAAAACTAACAATCCTATGCCAGTAACTGGCTAGCATAATTGAAACACTATTTGTTTTCAGCAAATACCGTTCCTGCTAGCCCAGTTCTACTGTCTTACTGTACTAGTCAAATGTAAACCAGTTGTTATGCGTTGTTCACTCTTGGTATTGTGGATTGCGACAATAACGACACATGATTGCAGTCGTTTATATTCTTTTTTGTATAAATAGAGATATGTGTAAGTCGAAAAGTTTTAGGGAATTGGGATATTTGATACTGCCCCAAATTCTTTATAATGATCGTATGTATATTCCAGAAGTCTCTAATTTGTTAAATATACTAGTATGCTTGTATAATGGTATCTATAAATCCTGCTCGAAGGACCATTTGTGTCCAAATTCAATTGAACAGGAAAGTTCAACATAAAAATAACTTCAGTATTAAATTTGAATGGAATACAAAAAGAAATTTAATTCTTGATGACCGAGATTTTATTTTTATACGACATTTTTTTAACTTTAAAAATACCATATTAATTTTATACTCTGTTTAGTAGTGGTTTTTTCCCCGAAGGACTTAAATAAACTTTATTCAAGTAACACTGTAAAGGAATATAAAACTTTTTTATTTTACATTTCCTAATGAATTGAGAGAATTGAATAAAATACCTTGTCAATAATTTGTATGATAATCACAGCTTCAAAGAAATATTTTTGAGACTATCTTTTACAATAATACATTCTCTTCAGAATTGATGGATTAATTTTTCATACGCATTTTCGAAAATCAGTTAAACAGTGATAGAAGTATATGAAAAAATAATGTTCATAAGCTCTGAAAATGTAATAAAACACATAATATAAATCTAGCCTAATTACTGTGTATTTAAAAAAAATTAAAACTTGTTTATGGTTGAAAATAAATATTACTGTATTCATGTTTTAATCTATGTTAAAATAAGAAAACAACTTTGATAAATAGGTTAGAATTTTTCTCGATCTTTACATACTTACATAGAAAATAAAAATGTGTGTTCACTTTTAGCATATGTGACTATTGACACAAAACGTATTGTTCTCTCTTTCCTTTTGTTTGAGAATGAAAGAGAACGCAATATTTTTTTTGTGTATTGCAATGGTTTTTTTTTAATCAACGGGCTAGTTATACGCATAGATATGTGTATAAATGTATGCCTCAGCGGAATTTGTATTAAACCTTCTCTTTCCTTCATATTCGCTTAATATAAAGGTTAATGGAGAACGAAAGAGACAGTTGTATTTTTGTGAAGATCTTTCTCGAATGTCTATTGGCTTAGTACTTGAGCAGTTTTATATATGTAGTTCTTTTTTCAGAAATTATGCTCAGACTCTCTAAAATATGGTGCTCGATTACATTTTTTTTTTCTTAAGGATATCTCAAAATTTTTGGACGTGTTTTAATTTTTACAGTTTTTTTTTGAAAATGTTTCAAATATTATAATTAAAATTTTGTAGATATTTGTTAGACGGATTGATGTTCGAAAATTTATAATATTTATTCCCTTCTTATATGTAGTTAATTATAGTAAAATAATATGCTGTTTGTTCATTAAAACATTATATTTATATTCAAATTAAATGTTTTTTTTTATAGTTTTAATATCTTTGAATTAATTTTAAATGTTCAGTATTTTTTTTCTGGTAAATAATGCAGACATATAAAAGCATATCATATAGCTTATTGTATTTTAGATTTAATGTTGAAATAGGATTATTGTTAGTGTGTTCTTAATCAAGGTTTTGGGATAGATTAAGCTTTCAAACCAAAGAAATATAACTTCTTTATAATGTATGTAAATGAAATGTAGGAATTTTTGACCTCACTATTTTTATTGAAATAGGGTTGACACAAAATAAAAACCAAAGATCTTTTTTTTTTAATATTATTTTGTAATCTTGTTATTGTTCTTTACAACTCTGTCTATATTTTTTTTTAATTAAAAAATAGTAAGATGTGATTTGGGGTCAGTGAGTGTCTTATTAGGATATGCGTGTATTTTCTAGAGTAGGTCAATTGTATTCAAGTACTTTGTAATTAAAAAATATTTTTTACATTAGTAACAGTTGACAACCCTAGTCATATCATTTTTAAAAATGTTTCAGTGCTATTCAAGAGCCGCAAAAGGCAATCTGTCTTTAGGCAGTGTGTCTCGTTTTGGTATACCTTGCTCAAGCGCGGATTCAGTTTTGGCGCCAGGGGGGGGGGG